GAAGTTTACATACACCTTAGCCAAATACATTTAAACTCAGTTTTTCACAATTCCTGACTTTTAATGCTAGTACAAATTCCCTGTCTTAGGTCAGTTAGGATCATCACTTCATTTTAAGAATGTGAAATGTCAGAATAATAGTAGAGAGAATGATTTATTTCAGCTTTTATTTCTTTCATCACATTCCCAGTGGGTCAGAAGTTTACATACACTTAAGTATGTATTTGGTAGCATTGCCTTTAAATGGTTTAACTTGGGTCAAACGTTTCAGGTAGCCTTCCACAAGCTTCCCACAATAAGTTGGGTGAATTTTGGCCCATTCCTCCTGACAGAGCTGGTGTAACTGAGTCAGGTTTGTAGGCCTCCTTGCTCGCACACGCTTTTTCAGTTCTCCCCACACATTTTCTATAGGATTGAGATCAGGGCTTTGTGATGGCCACTCCAATATCTTGACTTTGTTGTCCTTAAGCCATTTTTCCACAACTTTGGAAGTATGCTTGAGGTCATTGTCCATTTGTAAGACCCATTTGCGACCAAGCTTTAACTTCCTGACTGATGTCTTGAGATGTTGCTTCAATATATCCACATAATTTTCCTTCCTCATGATGCCATCTATTTTGTGAAGTGCACCAGTCCCTCCTGCAGCAAAGCACCCCCACAGCATGATGCTGCCACCCCCGTGCTTCACGGTTGGGATGGTGTTCTTCGGCTTGCAAGCCATCCCCTTTTTCCACCATACATAACGATGGTCATTATGGCCAAACAGTTCTATTTTTGTTTCATCAGACCAGAGGACATTTCTCCAAAAAGTACGATCTTTGTCCCCATGTGCAGTTGCAAACCGTAGTCTGGCTTTTTTATGGCGGTTATGGAGCAGTGGCTTCTTCCTTGCTGAGCTGCCTTTCAGGTTATGTCGATATAGGACTCGTTTTACTGTGGATATACAGTGGGGAAAAAAAGTATTTAGTCAGCCACCAATTGTGCAAGTTCTCCCACTTAAAAAGATGAGAGAGGCCTGTAATTTTCATCATAGGTACATGTCAACTATGACAGACAAAATGAGAAAACATTTCCAGAAAATCACATTGTAGGATTTTTTATGAATTTATTTGCAAATTATGGTGGAAAATAAGTATTTGGTCAATAACAAAAGTTTCTCAATACTTTGTTATATACCCTTTGTTGGCAATGACACAGGTCAAACGTTTTCTGTAAGTCTTCACAAGGTTTTCACACACTGTTGCTGGTATTTTGGCCCATTCCTCCATGCAGATCTCCTCTAGAGCAGTGATGTTTTGGGGCTGTCGCTGGGCAACACGGACTTTCAACTCCCTCCAAAGATTTTCTATGAGGTTGAGATCTGGAGACTGGCTAGGCCACTCCAGGACCTTGAAATGCTTCTTACGAAGCCACTCCTTCGTTGCCCGGGCGGTGTGTTTGGGATCATTGTCATGCTGAAAGACCCAGCCACGTTTCATCTTCAATGCCCTTGCTGATGGAAGGAGGTTTTCACTCAAAATCTCACGATACATGGCCCCATTCATTCTTTCCTTTACACGGATCAGTCGTCCTGGTCCCTTTGCAGAAAAACAGCCCCAAAGCATGATGTTTCCACCCCCATGCTTCACAGTAGGTATGGTGTTCTTTGGATGCAACTCAGCATTCTTTGTCCTCCAAACACGACGAGTTTAGTTTTTACCAAAAAGTTATATTTTGGTTCCATCTGACCATATGACATTCTCCCAATCCTCTTCTGGATCATCCAAATGCACTCTAGCAAACTTCAGACGGGCCTGGACATGTACTGGCTTAAGCAGGGGGACACGTCTGGCACTGCAGGATTTGAGTCCCTGGCGGCGTAGTGTGTTACTGATGGTAGGCTTTGTTACTTTGGTCCCAGCTCTCTGCAGGTCATTCACTAGGTCCCCCCGTGTGGTTCTGGAATTTTTGCTCACCGTTCTTGTGATCATTTTGACCCCACGGGGTGAGATCTTGCGTGGAGCCCCAGATCGAGGGAGATTATCAGTGGTCTTGTATGTCTTCCATTTCCTAATAATTGCTCCCACAGTTGATTTCTTCAAACCAAGCTGCTTACCTATTGCAGATTCAGTCTTCCCTGCCTGGTGCAGGTCTACAATTTGGTTTCTGGTGTCCTTTGACAGCTCTTTGGTCTTGGCCATAGTGGAGTTTGGAGTGTGACTGTTTGAGGTTGTGGACAGGTGTCTTTTATACTGATAACAAGTTCAAACAGGTGCCATTAATACAGGTAACGAGTGGAGGACAGAGGAGCCTCTTAAAGAAGAAGTTACTGGTCTGTGAGAGCCAGAAATCTTGCTTGTTTGTAGGTGACCAAATACTTATTTTCCACCATAATTTGCAAATAAATTCATAAAAAATCCTACAATGTGATTTTCTGGATTTTTTTTCTCTCAATTTGTCTGTCATAGTTGACGTGTACCTATGATGAAAATTACAGGCCTCTCTCATCTTATTAAGTGGGAGAACTTGCACAATTGGTGGCTGACTAAATACTTTTTTTCCCCACTGTAGATACTTTTGTACTTGTTTCCTCCACCATCTTCACAAGGTATTTTGCTGTTGTTCTGGGATTGAGACAGAACGTGTCTCCTTCCTGAGCGGTATGACGGCTGCGTGGTCCCATGGTGTTTATACTTGCGTACTATTGTTTGTACAGATGAACGTGGTACCTTCAGGCGTTTGGAAATTGCTCCCAAGGATGAACCAGACTTGTGGAGGTCTACAATTATTTTTATGAGGTCTTGGCTGATTTCTTTTGATTTTCCCATGATGTCAAGCAAAGAGGCACTGAGTTTGAAGGTAGGCCTTGAAATACATCCACAGATACACCTCCAATTGACTCAAATGATGTCAATTAGCCTATCAGAAGCTTCTAAAGCCATGACATCATTTTCTGGAATTTTCCGAGCTGTTTAAAGGCACAGTCAACTTAGTGTATGTAAACTTCTGACCCACTGGAATTGTGATACAGTGAATTATAAGTGAAATAATCTGTCTGTAAACAATTGTTGGAAAAATTACTTGTGTCATGCACAAAGTGGATGTCCTAACCGACTTGCCAAAACTATAGAGTGGTTGAAAAACAAATTTTAATGACTCCAACCTAAGTATATGTAAACTTCCGACTTCAACTGTATCTAGATATCTTTAGAGTTAATTCGGGAAACGGTAACTCGTTAAACAACTTTTCCCATGGTGCCCCAAATTCCTAATGAGTTAATTGTTACATGATTAATTTAAACATAGTAGGTAATTATTTGATAAATAATAGTCATCACAATAAAGAAAGTCACATTACGACAATGTGTTTAGTGGTGGTGTCTCATCCTTCCAGGCCATTGGCATGGTGCAGGAGCAGATAGGTTAAAAGTAGTGAAATTGGGTAGTGAGTTTTTAATGAGTGTAGGGTTAGTTGGAAGGGTGTTTTTTTTCTCACTTTTCCCCTATAATGGATTTATACTATAGTCCAGTTGGGGCTTTAATGCAATATATTGGATGCCAACCACTGTTAAACGTCACCGGAATATCGGATGGGAAAAAAGATGGCGGAAGTGGATGATGAAGTGGATTCTGAATCTAATGGCGGTAGAATCAAGGAGAATTGGAATATTGTCCAAAAGAATGGAAAACGGAGCAAAGTAGAGTACAGTGATGAGAATGTCACTTCGTATCTTGTAGGAGGACGGTTTGTAAATGAGGAGCAGCTGATCGAATTACCAATCTTGAGGAATCCATTTGAGATATCCAAACTGGTGGAGAGAGTGCTGGGTAGAGTGAAGGCTGTGAGGATCACGAGAGGTGGGCTGGTTTGGATTTTTTGTGCTTCTGAGGGTCAGAAGAAACGTGTGTTGCGTCTCACCTGATTTGATACGTTTGAAGAGTTGTGTGTGTCTCTTAGGTACAGGGCACCCCTCAAGGGGGTTATATCTGGAGTCTCGTGGGAAGTAGATGTTGAAGAGATGGAAAATATTCCTGGAGTGATTGATGCACGTCGGATGAATCGTATTGGGAATGAAGAAAAAGTGAAGAGTCTATCTGTTCTTTAGTTTTTTGATATGGAGTCTCTCTCTACTCAAGTGCAGTTAGGGTAAATTAACTACAGAGTCAGAGCATTTGTCCCAAGACCAATGCAGTGTGATCATTGTAAAGCTTTTGGTCATGTTTCAAGTGTTTGCAGAAGGGAGAAGCCGAGATGTCCAAGTTGTGGAAAATATCATATTATGTGTTATAAAAGTGATGAAAATGTGACATGTTGCAATTGTGGTGGGAACCATGAAGCCACGTTGTTCGAATGCCCCACAAGGGTGAAAGAGTATGAGGTGGCCAAAGTCAGGGCTATCCAGAACATATCATATGCAGCAGCTGTTAAAAAGGTTGAGGGTTTGAATGGTGCACTTGAAGAGTCCATGGTGGTAGATAGGCCTTCACTGCAGGCTGCAGGGGTTGCCTTTCACCAGCAGGATCCTGACATTTTAAAGGTTAAGAAGGTGGACTTTTTGGCCTTTATAGCTATGGTGATAAATGGCACAGCCAAGATGGAGAGAAGGTCCAGGAAGATATAAATCATTATGGAAGCGGCGGAGCGGTTCCTGGTGCTGAAAGATTTCTCGCGAAGGAGTTACATGGAATATTGTCACAAGCCGTACCACCCTCTCAGGCCCTAGAGCCTAAGAAGGGAGATATGGAGAATTGAAAGAAGGAAGAAGTGGGATTTTTTAGTTTGTTGTCAATGTATAATTTTATTTGGGTGGATTAAGTTAGTTTACCTATCATGTATGGATTTTCTTTTTACCTTGTTTTGGTTTCAACCCGTCCAGTTGGTGCCGGCAATACAACTTTTGGGGTTGTAGTCCGCCATAAAACCCACAGAAGAAGAAGTTAAACCTCACCAAAGAAGAAGAAGTCAGCTGGTTCGTATGACGTACCGGTTTTCACCGGAAGTTAAAAAGTACACAATAAAGATGGCGGCGTCCAGCGAGACAACGTTGAAAAAACCACACGTGGGGAAAAAGAGAAAGGTAAAGTTGTGAAGTTATCATAACACGTTTACAAATAGATTACGTATACCCGATCAGCTAATGTAGCTATATTCTACTCGGTCCTACTTTTTTTGAGCCTACAACGGTGATTAAAGGATACACACTGATTGTAGCCCTGATCTAGCCAATTTTCTCAACGCTTTCAGTAACGTTACACTGCGAACGATTCAGTGACTGCAACATTTTCTCAAAACTCGATGCTTGCTAGCCAGTTTGTTGATACGTTTTCAGTTTTCATTTGTTTGGGATAGAGTATACTACTGAACTCCCGCTACTTTTAGCTAGCTACACTGTCTTCTTGAGGGCTAACGTTAGTAACGTAAGCGTCGATGCCGTGTCTGTCTAGCTACCACTGAAACTGTTGAAAAGGCATCTGAAAAAGTTAATTCACTGTAACATGTAACTTTTTTTTGTAATATGTATAATGGGCAGCATGCAAAAATCCAGCCTGCTCCAATTAATGTGTTGTTATTTGACTTGATGATTGATATCTCTGTTCTGCAATCAGCCTCCAAAGAGATACTGGGAGGGCACAGAGGAAGACGGGAAGAATGATGGAAAGAAACAGAAAGAAGGGGACAACAACAAACAGACTCCGCAACAGAAGAAGACCAGGACAAAGGAAGGAGGAAAGAGAGGTGGAACAGGAGAAAAGAAGGTCATATCAGGGGTAAGTGGCCAGTCAATCTGCAGCACTTTAGATTCTAGATTTTTTTTCTCACCCTATCCTTTTAAGAATGCATTTTTCGTTAATGTTTAATTAAATCCCACAGAAATCAGATCCATTCCCAGGCTCAGCACCTGTCCCTGAAGAGAAGTTGAGAAAGTTCAAGAGAGGAGACAAGGGAGAACTGGTGAGACATGTTTGAATACACATTCACCAAGACAGTCTGCCTGAATAATGTCAATTACGTAACTGTCAAAATATACCATTGTTTTGTACATGTACTGTAGCTTTAGTAAGTTGTAAGGTTTTCTCCCATCCCTCTCTCCCCAGCCCCCTCGGCCACAGTACAAGCTCAGAGCTGTGGTCGTTCGTTCAGAGGCTGCCTCAGACCTGGCCCAGAAGCAGAATGCACGATATGACCTTATGCTCCCAGAGGATGCTGGGTAATGTCAATACATTTGTAGGGCCAAGTTTAGTAGGATAAATCTCTGTCCCCCCCCCCCCCCCCATTGTCTCTGTGTTAACATTGATAAATGCACTGTTGGTTAAGGGCTGTAAGTAAGCATTTCACTGTAATGTCTGCACCTGTTGTATTCGGCGCATGTGACCAATAAAATTTGATTTGATTTGATTTGAACTGTCTGTTTCTCTCTGGTCTTAGGTTCCTGGAGGGAGACGAGGATGAGGACACATGCACCATCTCACAGGATGACATCGCTGATGCTGTGGATATTACCGCCGGGGCAAAGGTGAGTCACTGAAGGGACAATTGCTAGGTTTCCATCCAATTGGCGTCAGATTTTCATGCAAATATGCACATTTTCCCACCTGTGCTGTTTCCACTAAACTGACTTGTGGATCAAAATCAGTGTGTGATGACGTAGTGCACACAAAATGTACTTTTTGGCTTATGTTTTCATGTACTGAATAAAAGTCTACATTTCAATGTGTTTCCATCGCATTTTCAACTCTACTAATAGTTTTGTCACAAAAATTTGCGTTAAATAGCAAATGTGCTTATCTGGTCTTGGCACATGCGCTCTAGCCAACAGCTCGGAGATACGGTGTGGGTAGGCTAGTCTACATGTTGAGATTATTATGGATATAACAGCGAGAATATTCTTATTTGTGAAACTGCAGTCAAGCATTGATCATCATGTCACCAGAATATGACCCTTGATATTTATTGGAAAGCAGCATCAAGCTCATCACCATGCACTTTCATCACCCTGTGAAGTTCATCATAATTTATTTCATCTGTAGCCTATTAAACTGCATGGTTTCCCGAGTCGTAGTGGGAGGACCACACACCAGTTTACTTCGATATGATGGCTATTATATAAATATTTGCACATAAAGCTGTTTTCAACACCATTTCTCACATAATGAATTTTACAGACGCAAAAACATCCCACCTTGTCAAACAAACAAATTATCTTTCTGCATTTTAAAAATTGTACCATCACAGCTGTCGTGATTTTTTTCTTATACGTTATGACTTTACTCGCTTATGTGATTTGTGTGTCAGGTAGGGTACTGTGACAGCATATCCATGCAAATGGACCAATAAATCAAGTATTATTGTTTAACTCTGTCACACTCTCTCCCTTTACAGTACTTTAACCTGACCCTGTCTCAGTTTGGGCCTTACCGACTGGATTACAGCAAGACTGGGCGGTCAGTTTCATGTTCTGTTTGTGTTGAGTGTGTTCTGTGCAAGCAGGCCAGATATTTTGTTTGTGCTTTTATTGTTAGACCTGGATTTGCTGGGTAAATTCATTGTGATTGTGTGTTTTGGTCCTGAGAAGAAGTCTGATGTTTTGAATGTGTGTGTTCCCTCTATTCCAGCCACCTACTGCTTGGTGGCAGGAGAGGTCATGTGACCAGCCTGGACTGGCAGTCCAAACAGCTGATGTGTGAGATGAATGTGATGGAGACAGTCAACGACGTAAAGTGAGTACACACACACTCATTTACATTCACTTTTAGGCATAATTTCCTCTCCTCCCATTGAATCATCCTAATCTGTACTGTTCTGTGTCCACTAGGTGGCTCCACAGTGAGGCCTTGTTTGCAGTGGCTCAGAAGAAGTGGCTGTATATCTATGACAACAAGGGCATCGAGCTCCACTGCATCCGCAAGTTCAACGATGTTCTCCGCATGCAGTTTCTCCCCTACCACTTCCTGCTGGCTACAGCGGTGTGTGAACTTATACTAACGTTGTAATATGTGTGTTTGTGTTAGATATGTCAGGGGAATCAATTGTGTATTGAGTGCAATGTGAATTAAGACGTAGGCAAGCTCTGGGGGTTACACAAGTCTTCAGGTCTCAGGTTAATTGTCTCAGGTTACTCAACACAACAGGCGAGTGTAGTCCAGTGAACCACCACCAAGACTCACCTGTGAACTCATCCTGTTCCCCTCTACCCCCCTCCTCCTCCAGAGTGCGACAGGCTTCCTGCAGTACCTGGACGTGTCGGTGGGTAAGGAGGTGGCGGCCATCTGCACCAAGGCTGGCCGGCTGGACGTGATGGCCCATAACCCCCACAACGCCATCATCCACCTAGGCCACTCCAACGGTACTGTCACTCTCTGGACGCCAAACCAGAGAGAGCCGCTCGTCAAGATGCTCTGCCACCAGGGAGGCGTGCGTTCGGTCGCCGTTGACAAGACTGGCACGTGAGTCCCAGTCAAAAACATTATATAGTTCTGGTTTTGTTATGAGTGGTTTTGGTCTCTCAGCCATTGAAAGGTGGTTATGTTATGCAATGTAGCTGTTGTATTCAATATGATATCCACATTTGGGTCAGTGTTTTGTGACTGGTCTTTGCTGGTGTACTTCCCTAAAATGTCCAGCAGAGGGCTCTCCTGTAACACTCTTCTGTCTGCAGGTACATGGTGACCTCGGGCATGGACAAGAAGCTGAAGGTGTATGACATTAGATCATACCGGCCCCTGCAGTCCTACTTCCTACCTGCGGGAGCTTCCTGTCTGTCTCTAAGTCAGAGGGGCCTGCTGTCCGCCGCCACGGGAGACATAGTCCAGGTCATACATCCTGCTTATAATTTTGCTTATGTTTTTGTGCCATGCCTTTTGGTCTTCAAGATTAACTTGACAATGTTTCCTGACTCTGCTATTCCATAGTTCCATTCCACTAAGCCATGGTAACGCCTCAGAACTATATTGAACTATCTGGTCCACTGAATCTAGAACCAAGCATACTAATGGCATTGACAGAACTGGAACCGGAACCCAAATACTCATTAAGAGTGAGAGAATGGATTGCTCTGGGGCAGCAACATGGCGCCCAGCTACAACGCTGTCCAAACTCTCTGTACATTTCCTGACCCCGTAATTTTTTAAAACTCAATATTCATTAAAGGAAAAATCCACCCAAAACCACTCATTACTTTATGGTGTTAAATAACACTAATATGTGAACAATATTTTTTTGTGAACAAATGTATCGTTTTGGCATTATAATAAGGTTGTTAGCAACATACATTTTAGTCATTTTAGCAGACGCTCTTATCCAGAGCGACTTACAGTTAGTGAGTGCATACATTTTTTTTTTTTCATACTGGTCCCCCGTGGGAAACGAACCCACAACCCTGGCGTTGCAAACGCCATGCTCTACCAACTGAGCTACACGGGACTGAACATGGAAAATCATTGTGGAAATCTGCAGCTCAATTTGACTACAAAATCCACAATGAAATGCACTCTATGGGCTGGCTAGCTAGAAAACATAGCTACACACAAAATACCAAAGACAATCAGCATCAGCATGTAACGTAGCTAGTTATCAAGGAGTGAATAGGAGTCTAATGGGCGCTAGCTCAAAAACCCAACAATAGCACGAATTCTGTCAACACGAAGTACAACATTACACATATTTTCAGAGGTTTGAGATAATGAACTTGCTATCTGTAGTATCGTATAACTTTGGAATCGTGACATTACGTACTTGTGAGAAAAATCGGAATGTTTCTCGACATATACACTGACTTTGAGAAGGGATTGCGTGACGATTAACTTGGCAACCGCGTGACGCAGCATGACAACGTGAACGCGATTGGTCGACAGTCTGATGGGTGGGTAGTTATACGTTCCAACATTCATTGGATTCGTATCTCCTTTCTATAATATTTCTGGCAACTGCACCATGGACTAGAGGCAGACAAATAGGAAACGTGTGCTAGACCCTCCGTTAAATAAAAATGTCTCGAGGTAGAAATATCGCAAAAATATGATTAATGGCTCATTCGAGAGAAGACATCCTCCCGAGCTATGATATCGGCCAGTATTGAAATCTCACATGTATGATAGACGTTTTCCCGATCTAAAAGTATAATTCCTACTTCCAGTGTAGTGAGAGTGACTTTATCACAGCGCTACATCATACCGGTCGGATTTCTGCCTGCTTGAACGCCAATAACTCAGATTAACATGAAATTACCCAAGGAATTGATAGAACATCACTGAGATGCACAAAAACAATATAACTTTCCAAATGGTTATATAATGACTGAGTCTGTGTTTCTCTGTTGATTATCTCTGTGGTCACGGTGTCTGCTTGTCTGTGTGTAGGTGTACAGAGATGTGTGGGGCACCCCAGTGACCAAGCCCTACATGGCCCACAGGGCAAAGGGCTCAGTGTGGGGGGTGCACTTCTGCCCCTTTGAGGACGTCCTAGGGGTAGGCCATGGAGAGGGCTTCACTAGCATGGTCGTACCAGGTCAGAATGATATTCTGATTCAAATTCAATCCATATTCTCCTTCCTGTGTGGTGTGTCCAATTGATCTAAATTCTGAATGACCCCAACCCTGGTGTACAGTCTCTAACTCTATGCTCTCCCTCCGCCATTAGGTGCTGGCGAGCCCAACTTTGACGGTCTGGATGCCAACCCGTACCGCAGTGCCAAGCAGAGGCAGGAGTGGGAGGTCAAAGCCCTGCTAGAGAAGATCCAGCCAGAGCTGATTGGCCTGGACCCCAGCCAGCTCAGCCAGGTGGACCACTCCACCTGGGAACAGAGACATGAGGACAGGGTCCAAGCACTGGTCAGTACCACCAAGGGATGGAAGCAGTTTATCAGAGGGATTTTGCATTTTGAGAATGAATCATGCATTGATGTGGTGAGACTGAATGTTGTGTGTGTATGGTTTGATTTCAGGGCTTCGACCCGCTGGCCAAGGAGAAGTTCACGCCAAGGTTAAAGACCAAAGGTCGGAGTTCAAGTGGAAAAGTGGAAAAGCGCAAGAAGCAAGTGGCACACGAGGACCAGAGGGTACGTTCTATTACTACTGAGATGATATGGAATTATGTCTTAATTATTTAATCTTTGGATATTTTACTAATTATGTGCATCTCCTTTGGTCTTCTTTCTGCTTCCTACCCGCTCTTGGTGGCTTTCCTCCACTCAGGATGTGATCAGGCAAACAGTGGAAGACAGGATGAAGATAGATAAAGAGAGGAAGGAGAAAAAGAAGAAAGAGGCGGCAGCAGCTGGTCAGAAGTCTGCTCTGGACAGATTCAGGAAGTAGGACAGAGGGACCAGTGTGTGTGTAGGCGGCCCTCTGTGGGAATCAACGTTGACCTTTCAGATAAAGGGCACATTCTGAGTATGGGACACGTTCCTCCGAAGCCCAGCCAGCAGGCTCCAACAGCCACTGCAGACACACAGAACATGCATACCAAACTGTATGAGATGACTTGGAACTGCATCATAATCGGTGCCCTGAGCTCATTCTGTGTGACATTTATAAACTGTCAGTGTATTTCAAATCAAATTTTATTGGTCACACACATATTTAGCATATGTTATTGCAGGTGTAGAGAAATGCTGTCAGTGTGTTTATGTCAGTTGGAAAGTATATCACTAAAATGACAGATTTTTCAAGAAGTATTTTGACCTTCATTCTCTATTGTGACCATTATGATGGGTGTTTTCAGCACAGTTTAATACTGTTACTTGTCAAATGTTTTATATAAAAAAACGCATGTCATTTGTGAAATAAAAAAACATTTGTTCACAAAACAAGTATTTGTGGTGTACTGATCAAACTTTTTCCATCAGTGGCAAAGGATTCTATCTCTACAATAATGTTTTGTTTAACTTGAATGTAATGCTACAGACGTGGAAGTCAAAAGTAGGATGAAATGTCCTCTATCCCTGTTGCTCTCTTTCGGTCTGCTGGAAAGCAAAAACCAACATCAGTTCTATCTACACAAACATTACTACAACTTTGACTACTACCAGCATGTCATATCAGTGCGGCATACTAGCACACCTTTACCAATATGCTTTTTTTTTTAGAAACGACTTGACAAAAAGCATACTTATCAATAATACGGTATTTCGATTCTTCCACAATCTTTGACAACATTGGAATAAAATGTGAACATGAGCATTCTTATTACTCTGATGGTTTTTATTTTTTACTTTTCCACACCAACTTTCTCATTCGAGTTTACTAAAACATGTATGTATAAAGAGGGGGACTGAGCCCTGTCGAGTACATCATTTGGGAAGAGGCATCGTCTCAGAATGATGGGTGCTATAGTTGTGCTGGTGTTGCTGTTCTGTCTGGAGCACAGGCTCCGGGTGAGAATGAAGCTACAACAACAATCCAAGTTGACCGAATCTGGAATGAGCTGAGAGACTTGAGGCACAACCAGGGAATCACAGTGGCGGAACAGAGAGTGGAGCTGAGGAACATGGAGGCCAGACTGTGGGACATGGAAGGTGGAGGAGCTGAAGAGAAACAATGCAGCACATGGAGGCCTGACAGAGTGCAAGTGAAAGCCAGGTGGTGGAGCTGAGTGTCGCTAAGACCGTACTGCAGTGCCACAAGATGGAGGAACTAGAGAGAGAATGCAGCCTTGAAGGCCAGACTGGGTGACAGTGAGAATGTGGAGGAGCTGAAGAAAGAGAAAACAGGCTTAGAGGCCAGAGTGACAGCCAGTGAGAGCCAGGTGGAAGAGCTGAAGAGAGAACACAGACAGACCACACGTAGCATTCTCTGCTGGCTTGGGTGACAACGTTGTAAGCCCCTTCAACATTGAGACATCACTGGTCTGCAGCAGAGTCTTCACCGACATAGGCACAGCCTACAACCCAACTACAGGTATCGTCACAGCACCAGTGAGAGGAGTCTATTACCTCAGTTTCACCGCCTGCGATCGGCGTGCTTCTGGTGTAATGGGTGTGAGGTTGTATAAGAATGACCAGTCAATGATTTGGAATGGATCAACCATAATGGGAGTAATGAGTTTGTGTCTAATGCCATGGCTCTGGAGCTGGAGAAGGGGGATGTGGTCTACCTGCGTCTCGCTGAAGGCCAGGGGCTCACTGATAATCAAGACAACCACAACACCATTACTGTCTTCCTACTCCTCCCTATGTGCAGTGGTATAAAGTACTTAAGTAAAAACACTTTAAAGTACTACTTAAGATGTTTTTTGAGGTATCTGTACTTTACTATTTATATTTGTGAATACTTTTACTTAACTACATTCCTAAAGAAAATAATTCACTTTTTACTCCATACATAAAAAATGCCGCCATCTGGTTTGCTTAATATAAGGAATGATTTGTACTTTTACTTTTACTTTTGATAATACTTAGGTATATTTTAGCAATTGCATTTACTTTTGATAATTCAGTATATTTAAAACCAAATACTTTTAGACTTTTACTCAAGTAGTATTTTGCTGGGTGACTTTCACTTTTACTTGAGTAATTATTTATAAAGGTATCTTTACTTTTACTCAAGTATGAAAATTGGGTACTTTTTCCACCACTGCCTATGTGAGGGTAACACCACCTCTGAATAATACAATTGCAATAGAATTAAGCATGAAATGTCTGCATCTCTTTGGGGTTTTGTCAACATTTCTCAGCAGACGGGTAACAAGTGTGGTTTACCTCCCGCAATAATGTTTTTATCAATGCTCATTGACATTGGTTGATTAATTGCATGCATGTCTTGCTTCAAGACTTTAGGTGTCAACGCCTACTTTCCAGCTGACCACTTATAATCAACAGTGTTTGTTGTCACAAATGACAGAGAATATTACTAGAACTGGTTAAGCATATAATCGGTAGAATAAGTTACCTGTCCCCTGGTTGCTAGGCAACCATGAGGGAAGGTTATACCTGAGAATGGACTTTGTTTTGCTTAATTTTCTTTCCGGCTCACTGTTTGCATTCCTCTCGTCATCGCCTATGTTCATCTTACCGCAAGCCTCTACTCACACCCAGCTGTAATTGTCCTATCCTTATCTTATTCTGATGTAAAAGTTTCAGAGGGGGCAAAGTCAGCTGTTAAAGATGGTGAGAGGGTGTGTGTGTGTGTGAGAGAGAGAGAGCGAGTTGAGTGAGTCAATGGGAAAGACAAATAGAGAGTGAGTAGGAGAGAGTGACTGTTTGTTATTGCAGTTCCAAAGATATTCAGTCTGAGAAAGGGTTTGATCGAGTGCTTTATTAGTGATCAATCCATTCTTGCACACACACATTTTCTAAGTACATTCACACATCATTCATACTAATACATCTTCACAGAATACAGTACTCAATATTCATTCTAGGTGAGGGAGGAGGAAGAACATACATGGCTACCCGGATCTGTCTTTGTTCAAACAATGCGAATTACAATGTTTCAGTTCACTTCTGACCACGTTAGTATTGAAAAGGTTATTGGAAACACTCCCCAAAAATACATCTGAAAAGAAATTCCAAGAGATGTCTCTTTGTCTACAACATACAGTGCCATCGGAAAGTATTCAGACAACCTTCACTTTTTCCACATTTTGTTAGGTTACAGTCTTATTCTAAAATTGATTTAAAAAAGATTTTGCTCATCAATCTACACACAATAATGACAAAGCAAAAACTGGTTTTTAGAAATGTTTGCTAATTTATTACAAATAAAAAACAGAAATATCACATTTACATAAGTATTCAGACCCTTTACTCAGTACTTTGTTGAAGCACCTTTGGCAGCGATTACAGCCTCAAGTCTTCTTGGATATGACGCTAGAAGCTTGGCACACCTGTATTTGGGGAGTTTCTCCCATTCTTCTCTGCAGAACCTCTCAAGCTCTGTCAGGTTGGATGGGGAGCGTAGCTGCACAGCTATTTTCAGGTCTCTCCAGAGATGTTCGATTGGGTTCAAGTCCGGGCTCTGGCTGGGACACTCAAGGAAATTCAGAGACTTGTCCCGAAGCCACTCCTGCGTTGTCTTGGCTGTGTGCTTAGGGTCGTTGCCCTGTTGGAAGGTGAACCTTCACCCCAGTCTGAGGTCCTGAGCGCTCTGGAGCAGGTTTTCATCAAGGATCTCTCTGTACTTTGCTCCGTTCATCTTTGCCTCGATCTTGACTAGTCTCCCAGTCCCTGCCGCTGAGAAACATCCCCACAGCATGATGCTGCCACCAACATGCTTCACCGTAGGGATGGTGCCAGGTTTCCTCCAGACGTGACGCTTGGCATTCAGGCCAAAGAGTTAAATCTTGGTTTCATCAGACCAGAGAATCTTGTTTCTCATGGTCTGAGAGTCTTTAGCTGCCTTTTGGCAAACTCCAAGCAGGCTGTCTTGTGCCTTTTACTGAGGCGTGGCTTTCGTCTGGCCACTCTACCATAAAGGCTTGATTGGTGGAATGCTGCAGAGATGGTTGTCCTTCTGGAAGGTTCTCCCATCTCCACAGAGGTACTCTGGAGCTCTGTCAGGGTGACCATCGGGTTCTTGGTCACCTCCCTGACCAAGGCTTCTCTCCTCCGATTGCTCAGTTTGACCGGGCGGCCAGCTCTAGGAAGAGTCTTGGTGGTTCCAAACTTCTTCCATTTAAGAATGATGAAGGCCACTGTGTTCTTGGGTACCTTCAATGCTGCAGAAATGTTTTTGTACCCTTCTCTAGATCTGTGCCTCGACACAAGGCCTGATTGGTGGAATGCTGCAGAGATGGTTGTCCTTCTGGAAGGTTCTCCCATCTCCACAGAGCAACTCTAGAGCTCTGTCAGAGTGAATTTACCACAGGTGGACTCCAATCAAGTTGTAGAAACATCTCAAGGATGATCAATGGAAACAGGATGAGCCTGAGCTCAATTTTGAGTCTCATAGCAAATGGTCTGAATACTTATGTAAATAAGGTATCTGTTTTTTGTATTTAATACATTTGCAAACATTTCTAAAAACCAGTTTTCGCTTTGTCATTATGGGGTATTGTGAGTTGATTGCTGAGGATAAAAAAAAAAAAAAATTTTTTAGAATAAGGCTGTAACGTAACAAAATGTGGAAAAGTCAAGGGGTCTGAATACTTTCCGAAGGCACTCATAAATAATTTTGTAAACTGCATTTGAATTTGTATTGGATCTCCTCGGCTACGTTTACACAGGCAGCCCAATTCTGAACTTTCTTTCTCACTAATTGTTTTTTTGACTAATCAGATCAGCTCTGAAAAAGATCTGACGTGAAAATATATGATACGTTTGGTCAAAAGACCAATTAGTGGAAAAAATATCTGAATTAGGCTGCCTGTGTCAACACAGCCCTCTTGACTACAGAAAAGCCCTCTGCAGCAGCGGACTGAATCCCTCTCTGGGTCAGACAAATCATTACCCTCCCAGTCCAGAAAAATCTATGCATGTCCTTCATTCACACTCTACTTGCTAATCATTACAGTTAGATAAGTTAATGGAGCGGGGATATAAATACTGCATCTGTGTGTTTGTGTGTGTGTGTGTGTGTTTGCCTATGGCAGTCCATCTCATCTGGTCTCCTTCATGTCTGGAGTGCTGCTGACTGACCATAGCGGTTGAAGCACCAGGGAAGACGGGCTGACTGTGTGCTGCGGTGCTTATCAGCGTCCTCCCTTTGCCTCTGTTTCTTCCTTTGTTCCTTCCTTCAAGTTTATCTATAGAACTGCACAGATGAAAGCAAATCATCTATACAGAATTCAGTGCAGATGAAGGACAGGAGTCGAGGAGAGGAAACCAGGAGAGGAAACCACTTCAGAATATTGAGGTGTATCCCAAATCTTCTCTGGTCTACCCAAGCCTACATCTTTATCTGTCTGCTGTCTCTGCATTATTTATTAACATTTATGTCTCATATCTTGTTTTGATTGACATTTCAGCTGAATACATAATACAGAAAGCGTTTGTTACTACTGGAGTGATCTGGAGTGTGTGAGGGGTGGGGGAAGAGAGAAACTATCATTTATACCATATTATTATTATTATTATTATTTTGTACCTTTATTTAACTAGGCAAATCAGTTAATAACAAATTCTTATTTACAATGACGGCCTACACCGGCCAAACCCGGACGACGCTGGGCCAATTATGCGCCGCCCTATGGGACTCCCAATCACGGCCGGTTGTGATACAGCCTGGAATCGAACCAGGGGGTCTGTAGTGACGCCTCAAGCACTGAGATGCAGTGCCTTAGACCGCTGTGCCACACTTATTAAAGTGGAAGCACGAGTTAGTTGCATTTTGGCGACTTCATGCATCTTTAGTGCTAATTTTTCCTAACTGAGGTGAAAGCAACTTGAGTCTACTTAGGCAGTTAGTAATCTTACATAGTATATAGGCTCTCTCCAGTATAGCTACTAAGTCCTTTTGCAGGTTGTTTCAGTCTTACAGTAAGCTGATTACTGTATGCTTGTCTTGAAATGTGCAATCATTAGTAGAACGTTAGTTCCATTATGCATTGATAACATTACTCTAAATTCTTACGCTAATGGCAAATATCCTGTAGGTTATGTGTTTCCTGGTCAGTAATATTTACATATCTACAGTATGTCTGTTCTAACAGTCGTAAATATATCTTCACACTAATTCCCTTCAACTACTGATTCTTATCCCTTCAGCTTTGACAAAATGCCAGCATTATAACATAACATAAAATACATTCAAGTATTCCTAAAAAGCTATAAAAATAAAAGCACATTTTCATAGTGCAGAGTGATTCCTTATCATAGCCAATGAAATAGAGCGCTTGTGCTATTCACAGTATTGAAATCCTGGCAGAGGCACAGCAACACCCCCCCTCACAGCCCCTGCTCCACCCCCAGAAAGGTCCCCAGCATGGCCCGGACTTTACAGACCCCCAGGGAGGCGCGCAGGCCCAGCCAGGAGCAGGGGGGAGGAGAGCGGATGTCAGCCCAAAACCGGAGCATCTCTCTGGGGGAGATGTGGTGGATGGACACCATGGCCTGGTAGCAGCAACGCCCATAGGGTACTGCGGGCCCGCCAGAGAACAGCGGGCAGTGGGAGGGCAGCACTCCAGCCGCACGGGCACACAAACCCACAAACACGTCCTCGGGGGGCAGAGGGGTGGGCAGAGGTGAGGCAGCAGCCGTCAGGGAGATCTTGAGCAGGGCGGAGCGAGAGAGGATGTAGGCAGTGCCACTGCAGTAGTCGGGGAAGACAGAGGCAGGGTACGCCCCTCTCGGGAGGTAGTGCTTACTGTCTGGGTCTCGGTCTGGAGCCACGTGGAGGTGGACCCGGCCAAGGTACAGGTCCCCATGCTCGTAGGTGTTGGTCACGGTGCTCCTGTTCAGGTAGCGCAGCAGGGCCCCGGGGTTGAACAGGACGTCATCGTCCACCTTGGCCAGGAAGTGGGCCTGGGGGCAGAAGCGTCGGGCCCAGCTCAGCATGGAGAGGGATTTCAGGGTCAGGTTGGAGTAGGAGTCCCAGAAGCGCCCTTGGATCAGGTCCCCTCGTTCCCGGGCCTCCTCTATCAGCAGCTTGGCTAGCCCGGGGTCAGAGGCCACCCCGACCATGAACAAGGTCATGACCCTATGACCCCTGACCTCCACCTCCCCACCCCACGTGTCCCGGATGGCCTGGCGGGCCCTCTGATTGGCTGGGGCGGAGGTCACCATGGCAATGAGGTAGGGCTTGGCACGCTGGCAGACGAGAGGGCTGGGCATAAGGAGATACTCCTCGGGTCTGGTTGGGGGGACACTCTGTGGGGGTATGATCCCCCCCTGCGCCTCTACCATTGTGTTCATGTTCATGGAGGTGGCCCATGACTCAATGGAGTCCACGAAGAGCAGAGCTAGCAGGGCAGCACTGACTATCAGCACACAGAGAGCAGGCACCACCCCGAACCGGCCCCCCCGCTTCCCAAAGCGGGGCTTACACACCCATAGCCCCCGCCCCACCATGACCGCCAACCTCCACACTGCCGCACTCAGGCAGCTCCACAACTCACCCCTTCTCTCTTTATCCTCCGGTCTTCTTTCACTCCAGCTCTATAACTTATCTTTCCTCGTTTTACTTCCTGCTGTCTCTAGGATGGCTTTCTCGAACCTCAGTTGGTTGGCAGCGGATAACTCTCCAGGTTGTTGGTGTGTGTTTCAGGGATGCTGTCACTTTGCAGGTGGCGCGAGTGGGCCATTCAGTGCTGCATCACTGTATCCAGAGCGGGACCGGGAAGCTGCGCGTTATAGAGGCAAATAGAATCGGGTTAACACACACACTCATTGCCTGGAGCTGTCAATGGCTGTATTTCCCACAACACTGTGCATGCGTCAAAGGGTTGTCGTTATTCTCCGCGCAAATGAAACCGAAATAGAGAAAGTATTTCCTAATGGAGGACCCTGGCAAAGCTTCTGAATGAGCTGTATGCTTTGTCACTTAGACCGATCCTTTAAAAAATGTACGAGGTGTAGCAGTTGATTCTTGCCATATAAATAGCCTGATCATAAATATCACACTAACACATAGGCTACACGTATAGGCTACACATACAACTACACATCCACCACCAACCGAGACATCGTGCAGTCTGTTAATGATTTACCTAATCTTAAAAACTTCTCCCAACCACTTACAGGGAAAACAATAAGACTTAGACTACAGAACTTCCCCTCCGTATAAAAATGCATTTTAACAGTATACCATGATTTGGTACTGATAGGCTACTGGATACTAGCCTCCAGTCGTCATGCGCGTTTTGGCAACAAGAGCGTTACGCACGCAACAATGAAATATACTACATTTATTTGACTGTTTTAAAATGTAAATATGAAGTTATTATTTCAAGACACCCCAATCCTGATCTTATATTAGGCTACAAAGAAATTGAGACATATCGGATGCCTATTAATTATCATCGTTCTGTAGCAATCAACTGTAAGCTACAGCGAATTTGGGACTTTGAAAAGCGCTATATGAATATATATGATTGTATTATTATTATTATAAATGCTGCCCACTCTATAAAATAAAAACGCAATAACATCAAACCTTGAATCCAATGAAGACGACTGTGTCAACACATCCTGTCCATGGTTCTGTTACCCTCCGCAATATTGTGTAGCTTCAAATTTTCCCCACTGAGCATAATGCAGTAACAATGTCGTCGCGTCCGGATGCAGGCTGTACCATGCACTTAATGTTGAAGATAGACTGATAAGGTCACTTCATGCAAATGTGCGTATTTCAGATGGACTGCCTGTGGTCGTGCGTGTCTCTTTTAAATGTAGGACTATTCGTAGGCTATAGGCTTAGTTGGGAAGATATTAGAATAACATAGATTTAGAATATATTATTGCGTTTGACAATTATTCTGTTCTTGATAGTTGTATGACATCTTGTGGACATGTTTGGAAATGTAGCCTATCTTGTCAAGTATCTTTGACCCTTCTGAGCGTTATAACACAGTGAGCGTTATGTTAGCCTACTTGTATGCTTATAAATATTGCTTTTTGATTACCATCAGAAGAGACTTATGTTTGATCATAATGTAGCCTATATTTCTTCATGAGCCCTACTACACCGTTTCCCAAACTTGGTCCTCGTTTTGGTTTTTACACACGTTTTGGTTTTTACCCTAACACTACAAAGCTGATTCAAATTATCAAAGCTTGATAATTAGTTGATTATGTGAATCAGCTGTGTAGTACTTGGGCAAAAAACAAAACGTGCACCCCTTGGGGTCCCGAGATTGGGAAACCCTGCCCCACTACATTGTAGTACTAATCAGTGCTAAAGGTGTGTATGTGACATAAGCTTTTACAAAAAGAGATGGTCTGCATCCCACATGACATCCTATAGGCCTACCTATTGGCTCGCTATATAGGGAATTGGGACTTGAATGGGGTCATTTTTTGATCTACATTGATGGGATTGATGAAGTTACAATATCCAAACCCATGTAGGCACTGTGCAATTGAACGAGTGACAGTGATATTCCAAACCCTGTGGCTGCAGGCACCTCCATGCGTCTTCTCCTAACCACTCCCCTTCATCTGCTGGACAGGTTTAAGGGAAAGGGAAAGGGGGATACCTAGTCAGTTGTACAACTGAATACATTCCACTGAAATGTGTCTTCCGCAAGTAACCCAACCCCTCTGAATCAGAGAGGTGCAGGGGGCTACCTTAATCGACATCCACGTCATCGGCGCCCGGGGAACAGTGGGTTAACTGCCTTGCTCAGGGGCAAAATGAAAGATTTTTACATTGTCAGCTCTGGGAATCGCTCCAGCAACCTTTCGGTTACTGGCCCAACCCTCCGATCCAGCAACCTTTCGGTTACTGGCCCAACGCTCTTACCTGCCAGCCAGCCACCATATTGCCTTTACCTAGCATGTGCTTTTAGATTATAGTAGGTTAATAAAACGCCTTAAATTACAGTCAGATTACACAGTTCACACAGTGTAACAGTAGAATAACAGGTATGTGTGGGCAGAGAGACCACCAACCTGTTTTTGAGAATACATATTCAGAAAACACAATAAAAACAAAGTGCCATGAATGATGTTCTGCCATATTCTTCGGACACACATTTTTATTTCAACAACAATATAAGCAATGAAGCCTGGAAAAGCAATGTAAAGCCAGCTGAAATATATATATGCACCGCACATGAACTAGGGCCTATAACAAGAACCATATAGGGTGAATTCGGAATAAGTTGGACACTTTTAGCATTTCCGTCTTCTGTAACCTCATGATACATTTCTGAAATCCTCAAGATGTTTCCTAATCACCCACACACACACACAAAAAAATGATATCATATTCACAGAAGGCATGACCCACCCATTTGTTTACACTGAGTCAAAACCATATTTTCAGTTCGCATTTGGTAGACTGGGACAGCAGGTTAGATAAACTGGGACACCATTATTATAGTCCTAATTGTACCCCAATGACAATTCAATTCAATTTTGTGTGATTGGGAAACATCTGAGGATTTCAGAAATGTATCATGTTGGGCTAATATGTTGGAAAGATGTCTGAAGAGATTACAGAAGACGGAAATGCAAAAAGTGTCCCACTTTTTCTGAATTCACTCAAATAACAGTACTACAAGAAAACATTTACAGGATATAGTACAACAAGAACCAGAGCCCTGCCTAACCTAAGTACAGAGGGTCCCTAGTGTAAACTGGATCTCTTTCCTTATGGAGAAGCCTATAAGACTGTCCCACGTTAGCTACTCCATGCTGTCCTACTTTAGCTAGCTATGGTTGGTAAAGCAGAAAAAAAACACTGAATTACAAAATTGAAACATAATATTGGCAACTTTTTATGTATTTTAATGCACCAGTACATAGTATGCCCATTTACATCACAATTTGGCACAGTGCATCATTTATGACAGTTTTATAACCTTAACATCAAAACAGAAAAAAAGCTATGTCACTGATCTTACCGTGTGCTTCGCAGGGTGAGCTTCCTGTTTGAAGCTTGCTCTGCCCTACTCTATGATGTTACACCAATGAATTGATGTGATTTTGATCATGTGGTTTCTCTGCAAGGGCTTAGTAACAATAGTTTAGATTTCCTCCTGTCAGACCAATAAATAAACGCCTCAGGATTCAGAGATGGGCAGTATTTCTGTTACATGTATTTGAAATATGCATTTAAATTACTTCTGAGTGTTTTGTCATTTGTATTATACTGGGCTGAACTACACTCCAATGTATTTTGCAACAAGATACTTTCAAGAGCTGTAATTTGTATTTTCAAAAAGATGGACAATTGCAAAGCATGCTGAGTATTATTCTAATGAGCTCAGCCCCTAAAGAAGGTTTTGTCTAGAATGGATACAGCTTTTGGCAAAATTGACTTTTCATAGCAGGTTTAGGAGAACTATACAGCAGGTTAGGATAATTCATGTAGCAGGTTAGGAGAATTAGGTTAGACATGACCCCTAGACATGTTAATTTTCACACACATTTACATTTTGGTCATTTAGCACACACTCTTATCCAGAGTGACTTACAGTCAGTGTGTTCAACTAAAGATAAACAACTGTAGATAAACAACAACATATCACAGTCATAGCAAGTAAAACGTTTCTGTAACCATTACTGAGAATGTTGTTGATGTGGGGGCCGGCTACTTGCAAATGTATTTTATATGATGTCCCACTCTATCTGAATTCACCCTAGGTGCAATTATTAGTCTTATTACAGTCAGATTCAATAAATTGTTAGATTTACAGACCATATAGGTTAGATTTACACACCATAATCACCTCTCACCTTATTCTAAGGAATATTATATTATAAAGAATGTATGCAAGGATTAGGCCTATAATATTGACAACAAAATCTACCAATCAGCTCCCCTTTGAAGAAGGCAGACAGGCTGACGTCAGCCTGTCTGGCTAGCGCCGCGCTGTGCGCTAGGAGGGAGAAAAGCGCAGGGCGCGCGAGGAGGAAGAAGAAAAAACTCAAAACATGCTGGCAGAACGGGGTCACGAACTATGACCTTTTACAGAAGAAAAACAAAAACAAATATTTTTTTAAAAATAGAAGACCCAGACCTAAATCTGCAATCTTTGATCCGGGGGTAAGTCTTCATCCAAAATATTTAAGCGGTTTAAAGCTAGTGAAGGCACAGTCGAGGCAAAAAAAACCCAGGATATTTTGTTGTAGTCTGCTGCTGTGCTGTTCGAGGGACAGCTCTAGCCGGTGGTGGGCTTGGGTCTGCATGGTTGTCAATCTTGGGCAGTGCTGTCATCTCTCATCTTATTTCAACGTTTAATGTATTACTTCTAGCAATTAAAATATCCATTCAGTGACAACGCCTTTGAAAAGCCTGTCCCCTGCGTCAAACCTTTGATATAAATGGATATATAAACGTGCCAAAATAAAGCTCTAAGGCCGAGGACAAAAGATGAGCTGTAGCTGTCAGTGCAGCCAAGTAGCTAGAATGCTAGCCGGCTAGTACAACCGCGCAGATGAACCCGACCCTTTTACCTTTGCCATCTCGAGAACAAGGAATTTTGTTTTGAGGGGTGCACGCGTAAGCATATGCGGGCGCTTCGATTTTTCATGTCAGGGTTTTGTTATTGAAATAATATGTTAAATAACGGGTATCTCATCGATATAAACATACATATTTTTACATTTAATGAATGGCTGCCTGCCGTATTGTTGGCGAATTGCCAGGTTCTCCATTTTGTCCGTTTGAATGTCGGAAGAAATTCGTTTTTGATAGACTCGTCGTTTGGCTAGTGAGCTAACGAACCCATGGCCTTCCCCCATCCTTTAGCCAATGACAGTCCTCACCGCGGTTGAAATCAAAGCCTTTTCTTCCTATAATGTGACACACACACAGAGAGCGATATAAAGAAAGAAAGATACAGACTCTCAGTCTCCCAAACACACACAATATGATTGGTAAAATCTAGAACTGGAAAGTGTGGGGTGTACTGTCTGAGGTGTAATTTCAACCTTGTGAAGTGTACACTTACACCCTTATGCCCTCCACTCCTTAATCAAATCACTGAAAAAGATGCAGTAGGTTCTCTCTCAGAGGACAGATCGGTCATGAGTGTACATCTCTGAAGGAGAGGGCTTTGCATGAGAAGAGGTTATCACATATCCCTACGAGAAAAGGGAACATGAAAATAGAATACCCGGGAAATGGGCAAGATGATACCAACGGTAGCTCTGGCAGGGCATAACCCTCGCCTGGCATATCGCTGGGATACTGAGCAGCAAGGGGCCTGAAATCCACACCATGTAATCAAAGATGAGAAAGAATGAGGGAGATGGCCTTGGTGCTGAATTGCATGAAGTCAAGGGGATAATTCTATGTTAAAAGCACTTATTCGTCTTAAAGTTGCTATATTTTGTGGCTGTAGCCGCACACTCTTGTTAAGATGCAAATGTAATGTACGAAGCAAATGAAGTACTACCTGAACATGGTCAATGACAATGCTCACGTTTGTTTTCTGTTTGAAAACGTTTGCTTAGGGTTGATCTTATTGAACGTAACCCTGCCTGCTGATATAAGAGAGGTTGCACGCTGCAGTTGACAGATGTCTTTGGCCTCGCTCCAGACAGGCCCCTCTAATGACCTTACATCACCATGATGACCAATGTGGAGGTGCTTGCTCAGCAGATAGTGGCCTCTGAGCAGGTGGCGGAGGTGAGTGACGTGTGTGTGTGTGTGTGGTTGTGTTATTATGGGAGAGGATGTGTTTGTGTACTCTACGAAGGTAAATTGTGCTTGCATGTTGGTTTTCTGTGTGTGTGTGTGGTTATTATGTTATTATGGAAGAGGATATGTTTGTGTGCTGTAAGGAGGTAAATTCTGTTTGCATGCTGGTTTTCTGTGTGTGACTGTGTCTGTACTGTGTATGTGAAAGGGCACCCTGACCCTAACCCATCCCATGCTTCCTTTTCAAAGATGATTCACTTTGTGAGACAAAGGCAATACACTGCCAGAGAGGGAAGCAAAACACCCCTGTTTTTGTCTGGTTCAATGAAAGTCATTGAACTAAGTAGACCAGACACTGCTGCTATTGCGTTTGTGTCTATGGGAGACAGACCCAGTTAAGTAGACCGGAACTGACCATTTTCAATGGTAAACGGCCTGAGTGAACTATCTTAATTTATCCACCATCTTTTACGATGCTGCTCTGTGTGGCATGGCAGGTTACTTCTGTCTCCTTGGTTGCCGTGGAGACAGAGGCCACTCTTAACCTTCAGAGGAGAGGGGTCACTCTGAGGGCACAGTCAAGCCCCTCCCTCTGTCTAGCTGCTGCTGGCTGCTGGCTTCCCTGCTGCTCACACATGTATTGTGTGTTTGTGTGTGCTGTGTTGCACATAAATCTTAGGTTCTGACTGTTAATGTGTTTGTATTGTGTGTTTCAGGTGCAGACCTCTCCCGCTGACTTGTCAGTGATGAGTGGCTCTCCACAGCGTTTCCAGATCATCTCTAACGAGCCCTCAGCCACACCGCAACACATTCAGGTAACAATACCCTACATTATTGACATGCTACTGCTTGAAGTCACTGCCACCTATTGATAGCCTACACACACTGCACCCTAGTGAAAATGTATAATATACACAGATTCCAAATCCCACTAACAACAAAATATTGTTTTAAAAACTATTTGGATACAACTTAAATAATTGTAAATTCTTAAATTAAAGGGATAGCAGTTGTTTGGATGGATAGATGTGGGATTATGACCCCTCCCTCCCCCTCCCTCCCTCTCAGATTGTAACGGACCAGCAGACGGGTCAGAAGATCCAGATAGTCACGACCATGGATCCCTTCAGCGGGCCCAAGCAGCAGTTCATCCTGGCGGCGGCTGATGGCTCTGGAACGGGCAAAGTCATCCTGACCTCCCCAGAGAACCAGGGCACCAAGCAGATCATTTTCACAACCGCAGACAGCCTGGTACCCGGCAGGATACAGGTACGGAAGTAGCCATAATACCACCATTCTAAATCACAGTCAGATACAGGTACGGAATTCACCATAACACCACAAATCTAAACCACAGCATTAGATGACACACTGTGTAACCTTTGACCCCTCAGTGACCTCTACTCCTCCTGATGTTCTAGATTGTGACAGATGCAGCGTCGGTGGAGCAGTTATTGGGGAAGGCAGGGGACGTGGGCCGGCCTCAACCTGTAGAGTATTGCGTGGTGTGTGGAGACAAGGCTTCAGGTACGCACACACACTGCACACACACACACTCACAGGCCATTGGCCCATTCATATCACTAACCCATTCTCTCTGTTCTGTGTCCAGGGCGTCACTATGGGTCTGTCAGCTGTGAAGGCTGTAAAGGCTTCTTCAAGAGGAGTGTGAGAAAGAACCTGACTTACAGTTGCCGCAGCAATCAGGACTGTGTTGTCAACAAGCACCACCGTAACCGCTGTCAGTTCTGCCGGCTGAGGAAATGCCTGGACATGGGCATGAAGATGGAGTGTGAGTCACACCAGCGAACGCACATGAAGATTGGTTTAATTTTTTTCTCCTGTCGCAGGCAGATTTTTGTCGGATAGGATGGTCGAGGGGCCAGAACATAATTATAATAATTTGTACACTGCAAATTAGTGCTGAGCGATTAATCTAAAGTTAGGTTAATTTTTCGGGTTTTAAACAACTAATTGACCGACGTCTGTTCAATTATTTGAATTCCATTTCGTTAGTTTTTTTTACTGTGAGCTCGATGTGCAGTTTCTGTAGAGATAAATCAGATGAAGCCTGAACTGTGTGATGTAGTAGGGAGTTGTAGTTTCCAACAGGTCAATATTCTACATAGTTTAGTGCAGAAAACGTGGTAATAAACTACAATGACCATAATCCTTTGCGCACCCGCTTAAACTTGTCCGGTCTGTGCGGAGCAGACACAAGAGACTGAGAGAAGAGAGAATGCAATCGAAAGGGATAGAAAGCAGTTGCTTCGCGAGTCTGAAAATAAAAGATCTAAAGTGATTGATAGTTGGTATTCAGCAGTCATAAAAGTATGCCTTATTGACTTTGAAGAACTACTAAAATAGTGATTTTGTCAGACAGCATAGGCAGCAGCTCTATAGAGATGAGATTATGACTTGGAATGAAATAGTAAAGTCATCAAATAAAACAAATATTTTATTAAAGTAATATATGATGGTTAATAATAATAATTATATACAGTTATGGGCAGTCACTACCATCATGGGACTTTTATTAATAGTTTTATTCAGTGTTGTTACAGCATTCAACAATAGTGCATTTAATGTGTAAAAAAATTACCGAAACCGAAAACCGTGAATATTTTTGTACAAATTTAACCGAAACCTAACCGACTTCAAAAAGCACTAATCGCTCGACACTACTGCAAATTGACCACAACTAAGCCCAAAAAGAGATTGTATTTGAAAAGAACAATCATTTCATACCTTGATTACATTTACATTTACATTTTAGTCATTTAGCAGACGCTCTTATCCAGAGCGACTTACAGTTAGTGCATACATTATTATTTTATTATTTTTTTCATACCCCCCCATGGGAATCGAACCCACAACCCTGGCGTTGCAAACGCCATGCTCTACCAACTGAGCTACATCCCTGCTGGCCATTCCCTCCCCTACCCTGGACAACGCTGGGCCAATTACATGCCACTGGGCACACACTGGTTGAATCAACGTTGTTGCCAGGTCATTTCAATGAAATGACCTGGAACCAACATGGAATAGAAGTTGAACTGACATCTATGCCCAGTGGGATATGTCTCTTTTTATATTTGTGGGAATACTTGGTTGGGAACAGATTTTCTAAATTAAATGCAATTTTTATAGATATTTTTGTTGCTAAGAACTTTTGGGGTCCAGCAAAAAAATCACGCTGCCTGTTGCCGACCCCTGCTGTAGGGTTTTAGTGTTGTTGATGGTGTTTCTGTCCTGTGTGCTCTCAGCCGTGCAGAGTGAAAGGAAGCCCATTGACCTGCCCAGAGAGAGGCCTGTTAACTGTGCTGCGTCCACAGAGAAGATCTACATCAGGAAGAACCTGATGAGCCCACTCATCGCCACGCCAACCTTCATCACTGACAGTGACGGCTCCAGGTCAGAGACTGAGATTGCTACTTTGTCTCCTTACTTGATCATGTGATTTTGAATTGTCCCGTGGGTTAGAATCTCTGCTCTGATTGGTGCTTTGGGTTAGTCTTCGGGCTCTGATTGGTCCTGTGGGTTAGACTTTGGTCTCTGACTGGTGTTGTGTGCAGATCCAGTCTGCTAGACACAGGGATGCTGGTGAACATCCAGCAGCCTCTGATCCAGGCTGACGGGACACTACTGCTGGCCACAGACACCAAGGTACAAACTCAGTTATTCCTCAACATTCTCAGTGTAATCCCTGTCCTGACATGCTGTGAGTTGGACTGGTCATTGGAATCAGAGTGTGTTGTTATTCTCATCACTGGCTCACTGGATGTGCCCCCCTCGCCAGTCTGAGTCGGGGCAGGGGGACTTGGGGACGCTTGCCAGCGTGGTGACGTCTCTGGCCAACCTGACCGACTCCCTCAGTGAGTCCCTGAACAACAGTGATACCTCAGATGACCAGCAGGAGGAGCAGTCTGCTAGCGAGATAACACGGTACGCATGCAGTGGCTCTGTGAGAATAAGTCTGTGTGTGTGTGCGTGTGTAATTGCTCCTGTATTGTGTATGTGTCTTCAGTGCCTTTGACACCCTGGCCAAAGCCCTGAACCCATCCGAGTCGGGGGGGGGGCAGAACCTGGCGGAGGGAGGGGTGTGTGTGGGCGGAGCCACCATCCAAGTGATCAGCCAAGACCAGGTGACCCCCCTCATTGAGGTGGAGGGCCCGCTGCTCACAGACACACACGTCAGCTTCAAGGTGGGGGATCTAAACTTGAAACTTAAAATGTATTCACATTTTGCTGGTGTTCAACCATTTATTTTTGTATGCACGTCACCTTTGTGTTTTCAATAACCTGACATCTCTATCTCTCTATTTTTTTCGGTCCCTCTGTACCGCCTATAGCTGACCATGCCCAGCCCCATGCCAGAGTATCTGAATGTGCACTACATCTGTGAGTCAGCGTCCCGCCTCCTCTTCCTCTCCATGCACTGGGCAAGCTCCATCCCTGCATTCTCCGCTCTCGGGTAAGAACACTCTTATCAAAGTGTTATTACGCTTTTAGTATTGATGTGTGTGTGACTTGAACTGTCTGTGTGTGTGTGTGTGTGTGTGTGTGTGTGTGTGTGTGTGTGTGTGCATCATCATGTGTGTGTGTGTGTGCTGAGGGGTTGAAGCTACAAACCCAAGCCTATGGGTTCGTAGCTTCAACCCCGCAACACACACACACACACACACACACACCCAATTGATTAATGGACTGCTGAATGTATATTTTATTATCTTGCTTTGTTTGCTCTTTTCCATATTATGTACAGTGGGGAAAAAAAGTATTTATTCAGCCACCAATTGTGCAAGTTCTCCCACTTAAAAAGATGAGAGAGGCCTGTAATTTTCATCATAGGTACACGTCAACTATGACAGACAAAATGAGAAAAAAAATCCAGAAAATCACATTGTAGGATTTTTTATGAATTTATTTGCAAATCATGGTGGAAAATAAGTATTTGGTCAATAACAAAAGTTTCTCAATACTTTGTTATATACCCTTTGTTGGCAATGACACAGGTCAAACGTTTTCTGTAAGTCTTCACAAGGTTTTCACACACTGTTGCTGGTATTTTGGCCCATTCCTCCATGCAGATCTCCTCTAGAGCAGTGATGTTTTGGGGCTGTCGCTGGGCAACACGGACTTTCAACTCCCTCCAAAGATTTTCTATGGGGTTGAGATCTGGAGACTGGCTAGGCCACTCCAGGACCTTGAAATGCTTCTTACGAAGCCACTTCTTCGTTGCCCGGGCGGTGTGTTTGGGATCATTGTCATGCTGAAAGACCCAGCCACGTTTCATCTGCAGTGCCCTTGCTGATGGAAGGAGGTTTTCACTCAAAATCTCACGATACATGGCCCCATTCATTCTTTCCTTTACACGGATCAGTCGTCCTGGTCCCTTTGCAGAAAAACAGCCCCAAAGCATGATGTTTCCACCCCCATGCTTCACAGTAGGTATGGTGTTCTTTGGATGCAACTCAGCATTCTTTGTCCTCCAAACACGACGAGTTGAGTTTTTACCAAAAAGTTCTATTTTGGTTTCATCTGACCATATGACATTCTCCCAATCCTCTTCTGGATCATCCAAATGCACTCTAGCAAACTTCAGACGGGCCTGGACATGTACTGGCTTAAGCAGGGGGACACATCTGGCACTGCAGGATTTGAGTCCCTGGCGGCGTAGTGTGTTACTGATGGTAGGCTTTGTTACTTTGATCCCAGCTCTCTGCAGGTCATTCACTAGGTCCCCCCGTGTGGTTCTGGGATTTTTGCTCAACGTTCTTGTGATCATTTTGACCCCACGGGGTGAGATCTTGCGTGGAGCCCCAGATCGAGGGAGATTATCAGTGGTCTTGTATGTCTTCCATTTCCTAATAATTGCTCCCACAGTTGATTTCTTCAAACCAAGCTGCTTACCTATTGCAGATTAAGTCTTCCCAGCCTGGTGCAGGTCTACAATTTTGTTTCTGGTGTCCTTTGACAGCTCTTTGGTCTTGGCCATAGTGGAGTTTGGAGTGTGACTGTTTGAGGTTGTGGACAGGTGTCTTTTATACTGATAACAAGTTCAAACAGGTGCCATTAATACAGGTAACGAGTGGAGGACAGAGGAGCCTCTTAAAGAAGAAGTTACAGGTCTGTGAGAGCCAGAAATCTTGCTTGTTTGTAGGTGACCAAATACTTATTTTCCACCATAATTTGCAAATAAATTCATAAAAAATCCTACAATGTGATTTTCTGGATTTTTTCTTCTTCTCAATTTGTCTGTCATAGTTGACGTGTACCTATGATGAAAATTACAGGCCTCTCTCATCTTTTTAAGTGGGAGAACTTGCACAATTGGTGGCTGACTAAATACTTTTTTCCCCCACTGTATATCTCTGATAACCCAGGAAATGGCTAAAAATAGCCCATATTAATAAATGTAGCCTTAGAAATAAGGTTCATGAAATCAATAACTTGCTAACGTCAGATAACATTAATATATTAGCCATTTCTGAGACTCACTTAGATCATTCATTTCATGATACAGCAGTAGCAATACAAGGATATAACATCTATAGAAGAGACAGAAATGCTTATGGGGGAGGTGTTGCTGTATACACTACCGTTCAAAAGTTTGGGGTCACTTAGAAATGTCCTTGTTTTCGAAAGAAAAGCAATTTTTTTGTCCATTAAAATAACATAAAATTGATCAAAAATACAGCGTAGACATTGTTAATGTTGTAAATGGCTATTGTAGCTGAAAACGACAGATTTTTTATGGAATATCTACATAGGCGTACAGAGGCCCATTATCAGCAACCATCAGTCCTGTGTTCCAATGGCACGTTGTGTTTGCTAATCCAAGTTTATCATTTTAAAAGGCTAATTGATCATTAGAAAACCCTTTTGCAATTATGTTAGCACAGCTCCGGGATGCTGACCTTCTAGGCAGAGTTGCAAAGAAAAAGCCATATCTCAGACCGGCCAATAAAAATAAAAGATTTAGATGGGCAGTCTGAGATATGGCTTTTTCTTTGCAACTCTGCCTAGAAGGTCAGCATCCCGGAGTCGCCTCTTCACTGTTGACATTGAGACTGGTGTTTTGCGGGTACTATTTAATGAAGCTGCCAGTTGAGGACCTGTGAGGCGCCTGTTTCTCAAACTAGACACTGTAATGTATTTGTCCTCTTGCTCTGTTGTGCACCGGGGCCTCCCACTCCTCTTTCTATTCTGGTTAGAGCCAGTTTGAGCTGTTCTGTGAAGGGAGTAGTACACAGCGTTGTACGAGATCTTCAGTTTCTTGGCAATTTCTCGCATGGAATATCCATCATTTCTCAGAATAAGAATATACTGACGAGTTTCAGAAGAAAGTTATTTATTTCTGGCCATTTTGAGCCCGTAATCGAACCCACAATTGCTAATGCTCCAGATACTCAACTAGCCTCAAGAAGGCCAGTTTTATTGCTTCTTTAATCTTCACAACAGTTTTCAGCTGTGCTAACATAATTGCAAAAGGGTTTTCTAATGATCAATTAGCTTTTTAAAATGATAAACTTGGATTAGCAAACACAACATGCCATTGGAACACAGGACTGATTGTTGCTGATAATGGGCCTCTGTACGCCTATGTAGATATTCCATTACAAATCAGCCGTTTCCAGCTACAATAGCCATTTACAACATTAACAATGTCTACACTGTATTTCTGATCAATTTGATGTTATTTTCATGGACAAAAAAAGTGCTTTTCTTTCGAAAAAAACAAGGAAATGTTTAAGTGACCCCAAACTTTTGAACGGTAGTGTATATTCAGAGCTATATCCCAGTAATGCTTAGAGAGGATGTTATGTCAAGTGTTGTGGTTGTAGGTTCCCTTGGCACATCTAAAGCATTTTCTTTTGGGGTGTTGCTATAGGCCACCAAGTGCTAACAGTCAGTATCTAAATAATATGTGTGAAATGCTTGATAGTGTGTGTGATGTAAACAGAGAGGTCTACTTTCTTGGGGACCTGAATATTGACTGGTTTTTATCAAGCTGTCCACTCAAAGGAAGCTTCTCACTGTAACCAGTGCTTGTAATCTGGTTCAGGTTATTAATCATCAACCTACCAGGGTGTTTACAAACACAACAGGAACAAGATCATCCACATGTATCGATCACATTTTTACTAATACTGTAGAACTTTGTTCTAAAGCTGTATCTGTACCCATTGAATGCAGTGGTCACAATATAGTGGCTACAGTGCATTCAGAATGTATTCAGACCCCTTGACTTTTTCCACATATGTTACAGCCTTATTCTAAAATGGATTAAATCGTTTTTTTTCTTCATCAATCTACACACAATACCCCATAATGATGAAGCAAAAACAGGTTTTTAGAAAACTGAAATATCACATTTACATAAGTATTCAGACCCTTTACTCAGTACTTTGTTGAAGCACCTTTGGCAGCGATTACAGCCACGAGTCTTCTTGGGTATAACGCTACAAGCTTGGCACACCTGTATTTGAGGAGTTTCTCCCATTCTTCTCTGTAGATCGTCACAAGCTCTGTCAGGTTTGATGGGGAGCGTCGCTGCACAGCTATTTTCAGGTATCTCCAGAGATGTTTGATCGGGTTCAAGTCTGGCTCTGGCTGGGCCACTCAAGGACATTCAGAGACTTGTCCTGAACCCACTCCTGCGTTGTCTTGGCTGTGTGCTCAGTGTTGTTGTCCTGTTGGAAGTTGAACCTTCGCCCCAGTCTGAGGTCCTGAGCTATCTGGAGCAGATTTTCATCAAGGATCTCTCTGTACTTTGCTCTGTTCATCTTTCCCTCAATCCTGGCTAGTATCTCAGTCCCTGCCGCTGAAAAACATCCCCACAGCATGATGCTGCCACCACCATGCTTCACCATAGGGATGGTGCCAGGTTTCCTCCAGACGTGACACTTGGCATTCAGGCCAAAGAGTTCGATCTTGGTTTCATCAGACCAGATAATCTTGTTTCTCATGGTCAGAGTCCTTTAGGTGCCTTTTGGCAAACTCCAAGCAGGCTGTCTTGTGCCTTTTACTGAGGCGTGGCTTTCGTCTGGCCACTCTACCATAAAGGCCTGATTGGTGGAGTGCTGCAGAGATGGTTGTCCTTCTGGAATGTTCTCCCATCTCCACAGAGGAACTCTGGATCTCAGTCAGAGTTACCATTGGGTTCTTGGTCACCTCCCTGACCAAGGCACTTCTCCCCCGATTGCTCAGTTTGGCAGGGCGGCCAGCTCTAGGAATAGTCCATTTGAAAATGATGGAGGCCACTGTGTTCTTGGGGACCTTCAATGCTGCAGAAATGTTTTGGACCCCTTTCCCAGATCTGTGCCAAGACACAATTCTGTCTCAGAGCTCTACGGACAATTCCTTCAACCTCATGGCTTGGTTTTTGCGCTGACATGCACTGTCAAATGTGGGACCTTATATAGACAGGTGTGTGCCTTTCCAAATCATGTCCAATTAATTTAATTTACCACAGGTGGACTCCAATCAAGTTGTAGAAAAATCTCAAGGATGGTCAATGGAAACAGGGATGCACCTGAGCTCAATTTCGAGTCTCATAGCAAAGGGTAGGAATACTTATGTAAATACGTTATTCCTGTTTTTTATTTTTAACAAATTTGCAAACATTTTAAAAAACCTGTTTTCACTTTGTCATTATGGGGTATTGTGTGTAGATTGATGAGAAAAATATATATTTAATCAATTTTAGAATAAGGCTGTAATGTAACAAAATGTGGAAAAAGCCAAGGGTTCTGAATACTTTCCGAATGCACTGTATATTTACATTTACATAATTTAGCAGACACTCTTATCCAGAGCGACTTACAAATTGGTGCATTCAACTTATGATAGCCAGTGGGACAACCACCTTTTTTTTATGGGGGGTGGGGGAAGAAGGATTACTTTATACTATTCCAGGTATTCCTTAAAGAGGTAGGGTTTCAAGTGTCTCCGGAAGGTGGTCAGTGACTCCGCTGTCCTGGCGTCGTGGGGGAGCTTGTTCCACCATTGGGGTGCCAGAGCAGCATATCCAGGAAAGCCAAAATTCCAAAAACTGGGCCTAAAATAGTGTATCAGAGATCATACAAAAGATTTTGCTGTGACTCTTTTGTGGATGATGTTAAAAATATTTGTTGTTCTGATGTGATTAATAAGGAGCATCCAGACGCTGCACTTGATGAATTTATGAAATTGCTTCTTCCAGTTATTTATAAACATTCACCTGTTAGGAAACTGACTGTTAGAACTGTTAAGGCTCCATGGATTGATGAGGAATTGATAAACTGTATGGTTGAAAGAGATGGGGCAAAAGGAGTGGCTAATAAGTCTGGCTGCACATCTGACTGGCTGACTTACTGCAAATTGAGAAATGATATGACTAAACTCAACAAAATGAATATGAAGCCAAGATCAATGCTATAAAGAATGATGGAGTACTTTAAATGAAATTATGGGCAGAAAGACAAATTCTACTCCATCTTTCATCGAATCAGATGTCTTATTCATCATTTGATGTTGCCAATTATTTAAATGATTACTTCATTGGAAAAGTGGGCAAACTTAGGCAGGAAATGCCAACAACGAACAGTGAGCCATAGTATTCATGCATAAAAAATAAATAATGAAAGAAAAGCATTGCAAGTTTAATTTTGTAAAGTTAGTGTGGGAGAGGTGGAAAGATTATTATTATCGATCAAAAATGACAAACCTCCTGGCATTGACAACTTAGATGGAAAGCTACTGAGGATGGTAGCTGACTCTATATCCACTACTATCTGTCATATACAGTGGGTAGAACAAGTATTTGATACACTGCCGATTTTGCAGGTTTTCCTACTTACAAAGCATGTAGAGGTCTGTAATGTTTTGTCATAGGTACACTTCAACTGTGAGAGACAAAAATCCAGAAAATGTAATTGTATGATTTTTAAGTAATTAATTTGCATTTTATTGCATGATATAAGTATTTGATACATCAGAAAAGCAGAACTTTATATTTGGTACAGAAACCTTTGTTTGCAATTACAGAGATCATACGTTTCCTGTAGGTCTTGGCCAGGTTTGCACACACTGCAGTAGGGATTTTGGCCCACTCCTCCATACAGACCTTCTCCAGATCCTTCAGGTTTCGGGGCTGTCGCTGGGCAATACGGACTTTCAGCTCCCTCCAAAGATGTTCTATTGGGTTCAGGTCTGGAGACTGGCTAGGCCACTCCAGGACCTTGAGATGCTTCTTACGGAGCCACTCCTTAGTTGCCCTGGCTGTGTGTTTCGGGTCGTTGTCATGCTGGAAGACCCAGCCACGACCCATCTTCAATGCTCTTACTGAGGGAAGGAGGTTGTTGGCCAAGATCTCGCAATACATAGCCCCATCCATCCTCCCCTCAATACGGTGCAGTCGTCCTGTCCCCTTTGCAGAAAAGCATCCCCAAAAAATTTTTCCACCTCCATGCTTCACGGTTGGGATGGTGTTCTTGGGCTTGTACTCATCCTTCTTCTTCCTCCAAACACGGCGAGTGGAGTTTAGACCAAAAAGCTCTATTTTTGTCTCATCAGACCACATGACCTTCTCCCATTCCTCCTCTGGATCATCCAGATGGTCATTGGCAAACTTCAGACGGGCCTGGACATGCGCTGGCTTGAGCAGGGGGACATTGCGTGCGCTGCAGGATTTTAATCCATGACGGCGTAGTGTGTTACTAATGGTTTTCTTTGAGACTGTGGTCCCAGCTCTCTTCAGGTCATTGACCAGGTCCTGCCGTGTAGTTCTGGGCTGATCCCTCACCTTCCTCATGATCATTGATGCCCCACGAGGTGAGATCTTGCATGGAGCCCCAGACCGAGGGTGGTTGACCGTCATCTTGAACTTCTTCCATTTTCTAATAATTGTGCCAACAGTTGTTGCCTTCTCACCAAGCTTCTTGCCTATTGTCCTGTAGCCCATCCCAGCCTTGTGCAGGTCTACAATTTTATCCCTGATGACCTTACACAGCTCTCTGGTTTTGGCCATTGTGGAGAGGTTGGAGTCTGTTTGATTGAGTGTGTGGACAGGTGTCTTTTATACAGGTAACGAGTTCAAACAGGTGCAGTTAATACAGGTAATGAGTGGAGAACAGGAGGGCTTCTTAAAGAAAAACTAACAGGTCTGTGAGAGCCGGAATTCTTACTGGTTGGTAGGTGATCAAATACTTATGTCATGCAATAAAATGCAAATTAATTACTTAAAAATCATACAATGTGATTTTCTGGATTTTTGTTTTAGATTCCGTCTCTCACAGTTGAAGTGTACCTATGATAAAAATTACAGACCTCTACATGCTTTGTAAGTAGGAAAACCTGCAAATTCGGCAGTGTATCAAATACTTGTTCTCCCCACTGTATTTAATCTGAGCCTAGAGGAAAGTCTTTGTCCTCAGGCCTGGAGGGAAGCCAAAGTCATTCCGTTACCCAAGAGTGGTAATGCAGCCTTTACTGCTTCTAACAGCAGACCTATAAGCTTGCTGCCAGCTTTTAGCAAACTGTTGGAAAAAATGGTGTTTGACCAAATACAATGCTATTTCTCTGTAACAAATGAACAACAGACGTTCAGCATCCTTATAGAGAAGGGCACTCAACATGTACTGCACTGACACAAATGACTGATTGAAAGAAATTGATTTTGAGAAGATTGTGGGAGCTGTACTTTTAAATTTCAGTGCAGCCTTTGATATTATTGTCCATAACCTGTTGTTGAAAAAACGTATGTGTTATGGCTTTTCAACCTCTGCCATATCTTGGATTCTGAGCTATCTTATCTAATAGAACTCAAAGGGTTTTCTGCAATGGAAGCTTCTCTAATGTCAAACATGTAAAGTGTGGTGTACCGCAGGGCAGCTCTGTAGGCCCTCTACTCTTTTCTATTTTTACCAATGACCTGCCACTGGCATTAAATAAAGCATGTGTGTCCATGTATGCTGATGATTAAACCATATACCCATCAGCAACCACAGCTAATTAAGTCACTGAAACCCTTAACAAAGAGTTGCAGTATGTTTTGGAATGGGTGGCCAGTAATAAACTGGTCCTGAACATCTCTAAAACTAAGAGCATTGTATTTGGTACAAATCATTCCCTAAGTTCTAGACCTCAGCTGAATTTGGTAATGAATGGTGTGTCTGTTGAGCAAGTTGAGGAGACTAAATTACTTGGCGTTACCTTAGACTGTAAACTATTATGGTCAAAACATATAGATTCAATGGTTGTAAAGATGGGGAGAGGTCTGTCCGTAATAAAGAGATGCTATGCTTTTTTGACACCACACTCCAAAAAGCAAGTTCTGCAGGCTCTAGTTTTGTCTTATCTTGATTATTGTCCAGTCGTGTGGTCGAGTGCTGCAAGGAAAGACCTAGTTAAGCTGCAGCTGGCCCAGAACAGAGCGGCACGTCTTGCTCTTCATTGTAATCAGAGGGCTGATATAAATGTTATACATGCCAGTCTCTCTTGGCTAAGAGTTGAGGAGAGACTGACTGCATCACTTCTTCTTTTTATAAGAAACATTAATGTGTTGAAAATCCCAAATTGTTTGCATAGTCAATTTACACAGCTCTGACACACAACCTTACCCCACCAGACATGCCACCGGGGTCTTTTCACAGTCCCCAAATCCAAAACAAATTCAAGAAAGCGTACAGTATTATATAGAGCCATTATTGCATGGAACTCCGTTCCATCTCATATTGCTCAAATAATCAGCAAACCTGGTTAAAAAAAAACAGATAAAGCAACACCTCACGGCACAACGCCTCTCCACTATTTGACCTAGATAGTTTGTGTGTATGTATTTTTTATTTTTTTTATATGTATGTAGTTTTGTCCCTGAGCTGTTCTTGTCTATTAATGTTCTGTATTATGTCATGTTTCATGTTTTGTGTGGACCCCAGGAAGAGTAGCTGCTGCTTTTGCAACAGCTAATGGGGGATCCTAATTAAATACAAAAATCTCAACCAATCTCGATTTAGTCCTGTAACTGTATGTGTGTGTGTGTGTGTGTCTCAGTCAGGAGAGTAACACCAGCCTGGTACGTGCCTGTTGGAATGAGCTGTTCACTCTGGGGCTGGCTCAGTGTGCTCAGATCATGAGTCTCTCCACCATCCTGGAAGCCATCATCAACCACCTCCAGAACAGCATCCAAGACGGTACACCATCAAACCTCCAGATCTCCATACAAAACAGTGAACGCACTAAATTCACAAAACGCACACCCTGATACAATCAGACACACAGATACAGAAGCTATGGATGCAAGACTCAAACTCCCCACAAACAAGTTCATTTCTAATTATTTATGTGTTGTAAAGTGTTGTTTGATGTTCCCCTGTAGATAAGGTGTCTGCGGAGAGAGTGAAGCTGGTGATGGAACACATCTGGAAGCTGCAGGAGTTCTGTAACAGCATGGTTAAGATGGAGACAGACAACTATGAGTATGCTTACCTGAAGGCCATAGTGCTCTTCAGCCCTGGTGAGCATGGTCCCATTAACATCATACATTATGTTAGAAATACATCATAAATCACAGGCAATGACTAGAGACTCAAGATTCTCCTGGTCAGGTCACGTGGTCAAGAAAATATAAATTCCCTATGAGAAACATCTGACATCAGATAAGAGTCAATTTACTCCGCTAAATTATTTTTGACATATACAGTACATGGGTCGTTCCACGAAATTAGTGCCTTTTGCGTCCCTTTGATATTTTAAGTAGAAATTGTGCACAAATATACAATTTTAAAAGCCTTTCATATTAATTGTAGTGCCCTTTAATATAGACCACATTTTGTATGAATAAAGACTTTCTAAAGTGCCAAAATTCAGCATTTTGACATGTCCCTCTTTGCGTCCTCTGTGACTTCTAGGAAGATTTTAACCCACTTAATCCCAACATTTCTCATTTTTCACCATCATTGTAAAGCCCTAGTTATTTTTTTGCTTTGACAAAGTCATTTCTGAAGATTATTATTAATTTAATGTGATTAGTGATTCATTTTTCATTTTAAGGTCAACCCTGTTACGTGAACTGAAATCTCATTTTAATATCTGAAACTATTCCTTTAAAAAAAATAGTCAAATCATAGTGTAAAAGCAGGTGAGCGGGTTCTTCTCTTTTTGACCATTTTCTGGTGTTTTGTGGTGGAAAACTGAGCGGGTCGAGCGGGTGAAGCTTGCATTCAATTACCCCTACCTGTTGCACACAACAATCTTCCATTCCCCTATCACAAGGGGATTTATGGCTGATTTAAAATGAAGTCGTCAACCCTGTTACGGTCAACACTGTTACTTTATTTGGCACTTACTATAGTATTATTTTCTCTTTAACCTCTTGAGATGGGAAAATTTGTTTTTTTATTAAGTTGAACATGTGTTCTTTATGACAGAATATAAAAATGTGGTGAAATAAAATGTTTTCTTTTCACCAAGTTACACTAATCAAAAGGCACCTAATTGGTGGAGCAACCCACATAGGGATATATATGTACAGTATATCAACTAGAAGAGTAGATAAGCATAACATGATAATTTGATAACATTTTCTCATATTTATCTCATAGTGTATTGTTAGGAAACAGCTATTGTGTGTCTCACTAATCAGACCATCCAGGCCTGAACAGTTGCAGCCAGATAGTGAAGTTCCAGGAGAAAGCCCAGATGGAGCTGCAGGACTATGTGCAGAAGACCTATCCAGATGACACCTACAGGTATGCTGTATGCCAATCAGGACCTTGATATATCCTAAAACCCTCCCCACAGGTCCCATAAATTCATATGTGAATCTATCTCTTTCTGATTGGATCCATATATCACATGTATTAACTTGTCTCTCTCTGATTGATTCTCCCAGGTTGACTCGTATCCTGATGCGTCTCCCGGCGCTGCGTCTGATGAGCTCCAGCATCACAGAAGAGCTATTCTTCACCGGCCTGATCGGCAACGTGCCCATCGACAGCATCATCCCTTACATCCTCAAGATGGAGACCGCAGACTACAACACCCAGATCACCGGTCCCACAGCGTGACCCCCCGCCAACACCCCTATCCACCCCCAAACCTCTCTAGACTTGTACCACGTACCCCCCCCCCCCCCCCCCCCCCCCCCCTAAAAATGCCCTCATTCTGAAACCACCATATTTTGTCCTGCAAACATTTGTTGTTATTAAAATACTCTTCACAAGATGCAAAGTCATGGAGAAATCCCTTTCGGACCGTGTTGTTCCCAGAATGTCTGCTCATCGTTTGTGGTTATGCATCGTAACCATGAGGACCCCTGGATGAGGGTTTGATTGTTCTCTGAAAGAGATGCATGATGGGACTGTGAGTCTCTTGTCCAGATTCCGTAGTTCAGAGCACGTAACCCCCTGGAGAGGGAGGAGTCCCCGTGGCTGACACGTCACTGTCACCTCTCTACTGCTTCAGCAAAACGCCTCCAATGTACTGTAAAGTTTACCTTTTCGCTCAAGCCTTTCAATATGCTTTTAACTTATGCAAGCCTTACTGTACATTCATGCTCAACAACAAGTATATCGATCGAGTTACCGCTTGCTTCTGCCTCTAATCTCGATAACCTGTATTTAACACTTAGCCGACATAGAGTAAGAATGAGCGACGCTTGCCTGAATGTCGTTACATGAGTAAACTGAGACATGAATTGGTGTAAAGGTTGGTTTTGTTTTTGTACTTTGTACTTTTCACCAGGTATTACAATGTAAAAAAGAAACATTTAAATGTATGAATAGCCTATGTTATGATGCTGGTCCATGCCTCAAGCTCTGTCTGTCCCTGAAATGTTTTGGTTGAAAAGACGACCAATTCCTCTAAATCAGGTACAAGACTTAGTTCACAGTTTAATAGCAGCTAACCTGGATCCTTAATCTACAGAGTATATGACGATGGACAAGCCATTTGTGTACTGAGCCACTCCATTCAGGATAATATTACATGTACTCTCCACATCAGATAAAACATCAAATGTATTATTGGTTTCAAACCGAACAGGAGATCAGTTAGAATGGTTACATTTCATTTTTGGGGTGTTCATTTCACTGCAATTGTTGTGGAACTTTCCCTAAACCTGTCCATATGATGACAGCCTGTTGCTGGGGAGGGTCATCGAGCCTACAGAGAAGGAGTTTAAAACAGTCCTGTTACTATGTCTGCCTAAAGCAAATGCACATTCATTATATGGTTTAGCTTGAACCATTTAGATAATGTGTTGAAGATTTTGTTCGATCAATCACCACATGACCCCGGCTCCAGGTAAAAGTCACCCTTAACCATAGATATAGGATCAGATTATCCTGGTAGTTCTAACCTTTACCATTAGAGAGGTAAAATAAAGTCTAACACTGTACCAGTGGTTAGGGGCAACTTTATGGCCACCATTTTCTTTTGCCGTCATGATAATCAAGCCTTGTGTGACATGATGTCCTGTTCTGAGTGTCCAGTATTTCTCTTTTCTGTTTATTTATTTCAATCCAGCTGGTATTATACAGTGCACTGCATGCAGAAACACTCTGTATACTGTAGTGATCTCAGTCCACTTCCAGTCTTACTTTACAGTGACTGTTTTATTAATATGCATGTATTCACACCATAGGGAAAAAATCTATTTTGAGTTCTCAAGACAAAAATGTGTTTTCCCTCTAACATTAGCATTATTTCTCAATAGTTTCTGTATTGAATGAACATCAAGCAGGTATTTTCCTTTTGTATTCTTGCACAGTATACCGTTCTGTGATATAATAGTTTCCAAAATGTGGGTTGTTGTGAACAAATGTATTTGTTCCATGTTAAGTGTACTTAAAGTACCACACCACACCTCTATAGTACCACATGAAAATATACGGACATTGTCCAACAGCAACAAAACCAGTAACACTAATTTATAACATGTAAAGAAGTCATAAGTAGGTATGTACTCTAAAATTATAGGTGTACTGTTGTAATAGCTGGTTTTAAAACCTGCAAAGACTGTTATTTTGACTATTCTGTGAACTGAGCTCTGTACTACACGTATTATCATTCATATGAGTGCATGTCCTTTTTTAATCAGAGTTTTATAATATTGCAACTTGCCAGTATTTGCCCTGAAGAAAAGGAGCATTGTTATTGGTTTTGTATAGTGCATTGCTCTGCATGCAATTGCTTATGCATTTTAGTAAATGCTGTACGAAAAATGTGGAGTTTTAATGTTGTGGCTTACAAATGTTATCAGCCTGAACAATTTCAATGCATTAACTACTAAATGCAACAAAAACTGTTTTCTATTGTTTACATATGACCAGGGGGGATATGGACAGTGTTGTTTTTGGTTTGTAAAAGCCTTTGTTTCAAGTCTTTTAAATACAGTACATATAAAAGTGTCAATTTGTATTAATACTAAACATGAGTGTCTTTTCCTGTCGAATGTGAGATTGTATTTGGAGAAAAAAAAAGAAACTAATTCCATGGCCCAAGGAACTTCACCATTCACATACTAACCAATGAGCCTAGTAACGTTATGTTTTCTGAAGGTTATTGTAGGACTACATATATTCTACCTCTTAACTTGACAGTGTAGACAAACAATTTGATTCCTGTATCACATCATTCCCTCTCAGGCCACTGGAACTGCAGTTATCAGTGTAATAAACATATCTTCATATATTTAAAAGGTATGTGCTTTTAATTGTTTAAAAAAAATCTATGGACACTACTCCTATTGTGTAAAAGGACTTTCAGTGCCTCCCTTTGCCCTAATAATACTAATGATGCATACTGACACACTCCCCCCACTGCAAAAGGAAGAATGGACCTCTGTACAAAAGAACGGGAAAATAAGCAAAGTTGGGATGAGAAAGAAGACACCTAGTGTCATGTTCGTTTAAAGAAGGGTCGGACCAAGGCGCAGCGTGATATGCGTACATGTTTATTAACGATAAACACACGACAAAGGAAACGAAACGTGAAGTCCAAAGGTACAACACAACAAACCTTACACGGAACAAGAACCCACAACTAGACAGTGCCAAAAGGCTGCCTAAGTATGATTCCCAATCAGAGACAACGAGCGACAGCTGCCTCTGATTGGGAACCACACCGGCCAACATAGAAATACAAATCTAGAATATTCACACCCTGACCAAACTAGCTAGAGTTCTGTAGGCCAGGGCGTGACACCTAGTGTTGAGAATACCTTATCATATCTGGTGGGAGGCGGGTTTCTGGGAGAATTGGAGCCTGAATTGTCAAATCCGTTGGAAGTATCCAAGATGGTGGAGAGAGGTGTGGGTAAAGTGGAGTCGGTGAGGGTCACGAGGAGTGGGCTGGTCTTGATTTTTTTGTGTTTCTGCTAGAAGTGTGTGTTGCTTATCAGGTGAATTGATGACCATGCTGTGTCATGCTTTGAGCTAAGGGAAAAGCACCTGTCAAGGGAGTAATTGCTGGAATCTCAGAGGAAGTGGGCATCGAGGAGCTGAAGAGTATTCCTGGAGTGGTTGATGCACGGAGGATGAATCGTTGGGTCAATGGCAAGAAAGGGAAGAGCTTGTCTATTCTTGTTTTTTTTTATGTGGAGTCCCCCTGTAAGAGCTTTTATTTCCAGGCCGTTGCAGTGTAAACGGTGTAGAATGGTTGGACATGTAGAGTGTCTGCAGGCGGAAGAATCCAAGATGTGGAAGTTGTGGAGAAGAAGCTGTGAAGTGTTGCAACTGTGGTGGAAAGCATATAGCTACATCTTTGGAGTGCCTGATGGGGGCGAAAGAGAATGAGGTTGCCAAAGTCAGGACCGTCCAGAGAATTCCACATGCAGAGGCTGTCAAAAGGGTGGAAGGAACGAAAGGTACTCCTATGGACTCCATGGTGTTGGATAGGCCTTCAATGCAGGCTGCATAGTTGGCTTCCCACCAGCAGTATCCAGCGATGTTAAGTGTAAAGAAGGTGGACTTTGTAGATTTTTTTGGCAATGGTGATCAATGGCACGGCTAAAGTGTAGGGAAAGGGATGGACATTATTGTGGATGCGGCAGAGCAGATCCTGGGAGTAAAATATTTCTCAGGGTAGGAGTTACATGAGGCGCTGTCACTAGCAGTGATACCCTCTCAGGCAACAGAGCCCGGGGAGGGAGCTATGGAAGATTGAAAAAATGAGGGATTGGGATATAGCTCACCATATTGAGTTTCCTTTTTAACCCCCGTACAGTTGGTGGCGATAATGCACCATAAACATTGGATGCCAATTGCCGTTAAACACCACTGAAGAAGAAGACAGTAAACGTTGGTTTCCACTAGTTATCACAGCCACAAAGTCAAAATTGGCTATATCGTCAGAATTCATTAAAACAAACATTAGCTTTTGGTCTTAATTTAAGGTCAGGGTTAGGCATAAGTTTAGCAGTGTGTTTAGGGTTAAGGTTAGGTTTAAAATCAAAGTTTAGAAATAGGCGGGGATTATGACTTTGTGGCTGTGGTAACGAGTAACGACCTTAAACTTTACGCAAATATTTTACGTCATCAAGGAGCGCCTCACTGGAGCGCTGCGCGTCCTTTCAATTTCCAAACGAAACGTGGAAATAAAGACTAAAAATGCCTATGAAAGGAAGATTCCCCATTAGACGAACGCTGGAGTATCTCCAGAAAGGAGAAGTAGTATTGAAAAACAGAGTAAAGATTTTGACAGTAAATTACAACACACATGGACAGCTCAGCGACGGAGCAAGGTCAGTTTGATGGACTAGCTAGCTAACCTAGCTGTTGTTGGATAAGCCTTTCAATGCAGAGAGCAATGATATTTCAAAATCACAAGTTTTCTGTGGCATTGTTATAATTATACAGATATGCAATAGAAATTTAACCAGTAGTTGCCGAGTTAACAGTGCGTTCAAGACAACTGGGAACACGGGGAAAAAACGAGCTCCAACTGGGAAAATCGTTTTGAATGGTCATCCCAACTCTGAATTCCAAGTCGGAAACTCGGGCATCTTTCTAGAACTCAGACTTTCCGATATGGAGCGAGATAGTTGCCAAAAGGTTGAACGTACGTATCGTCAGGATCGTAAGAAAAGCCATATGTGAAACATGAAACGTTAACGTTAAATTAGATCTGTAAAAGTACAAGCCTTATATTACGAACATGAATGAACATCTACCCGTTCAAGTCTTACTTTACTCGATTACAGATATTTTTTATACATACAAACTTTTGCCAGTAATGTGGCATCTGCAAAGGACATGAACCGAACATAGCTAGTCTAAGTTAGCTAGTCAATCAAGCAACTCTAGCCCAGAAGTTAGTTGGCGCAGCGGTCTAAGGCACTGCATCACTACAGACCCTGGTTCAATTCCAGGCTGTATCACAATCCGGCCATGATTGGGGCCATGATTGGGAGTTCCATAGGGCGGCGCACAATTTTAGCCCAGCATCGTCCGGGTTTGGCCGGGGTAGGCCGTCATTGTAAATAAGAATTAGTTCTTAACTGACTTGCCTAGTTAAATAAAAAATAAAAGTTGCTTTGCAGCTTCCGGTTTCATTTCCAAAATAAGTCTAGAGCTTGTTTTGGAACTGCATTCAATAACGACGTTATACCAGTAGATGGCGTAGTATAGGCTTGGCCTTCATCAAATGACTTGTGTGAGAATGATAGACACATATATACAATAACATCCTGAGCTAAAATTATTGCAAGACAGCAGTACCCAAAATGATAGCCTATATTGCAATGCCTGCAAGTTGAAGGCCTATTTTTTTTTATTTGGATAGGCCTAAATTAAACATTGAATTATTTAAGTGGTAGGCTAAAGAACTTTGGAGAATTTCAATAAACAAATGGATAACATTTTACATTTACACTTTAGTCATTTAGCAGACGCTCTTATCCAGAGCAACTTACAGTTAGTGAATGCATACTTTTTTTTTTTTTTTATACTGGCCCCCCGTGGGAAACGAACCCACATCCCCGCCGGCCAAACCCTCCCCTACCTTGGACGACGCTGGACCAATTGTGCGCCGCCCATGGGTCTCCCGGTTGCGGCCGGCTGCGACAGAGCCTGGACTCGAACCAGGATCTCTAGTGGCACTGCTAGCACAACGATGCAGTGCCTTAGACCACTGCGCCACTCGGGGAGATAAGACTGTTGTATTCTCTTTGATTTAGTTCCTATTGCAACTCAGACAAATGACTAAATGGATGACATACTGACTGACTGAACTGAATGAAGGATTAATTAAATGTTCAAATATGTTGGAATGACGAGTTGCACGCATCATGAATGCTTTATACACTTTATTTGGCTAGTAGGCAAATAGGCCTACATTAGGATATAATGACTATGGCTGCATGCCTCTAGAAGGGCATTTTCTGAGGCTGAGGGGTGCTTTTCCAAAGGCGCGTGGTGCTGCATTGAGATCACAAGCTCTTCAACTGGGCAGCAGTGTCGCGATGGAGGGAATAGCCTATATGGAGACTACCTAAGACCACTGCAACAGAGTTATTGTAAAGTGTGGGAATAAGCTTATGCCAGACTTAGCCTACGTTTAACCTCTCCCTTGTTCATTTCAAAGTCCATATGTTGATGACCCGATTCCTATAAATCATGTCAAATTATTTTAAATTCCTATTAACCCCTCCTACAGAGTATGCTTTGGCAAGATTTTGAGTGATGAAATAAATATCTAAAATGTTAGTCCGTAATCGTAACATGCCGTTTGTATGTTAACAGATTACATTTCACGCATGGCTTTTCTTATGATCCTAATGATACGTACGTTCCATATTCCGACCAGAATATCACTGACATCATGATTTGACCTAGTTTCTTTTCGAATTCCCAGTTGTCCTGAAAGCACCAAAACTGTCCATCGAGCGACGAGTTGCTTAGCATTAGCTCGACGCACGTAACGCCCTGGATCAGAGCTATAACCCAGTGATCATGATCTATGAGTGAGTTGGTACAGCCTGGTTGGCCATCATGCATCTTTTCTATTTTTCTGCAGAACATTTGTGTTCTTCAATGTTCCACAAATTCAGTACAAAAATCCTTGGGTTCAAATTATGATGTTCAAGAACATGACCCCATCGCCATTCCTCAAGTTCTACCTAGGTGAGTCCAATTCTGTACTTACTATGATTGATAGAACCTTTATCTATGCCTCTCTATTTGACATGTTTGTGCATCTGTCATTACTGCATAAATACTGTGGTTGTGATTTTATCAAGTCTATTAGGCCTATGTTTTTTTGTTTTGAAGTCTGACATGGTATATCCATAGAATTAGGAATTAGAATACAATAATATAATTAGTAATTTAATAGGATCTATGTGTATATCTCTTCTATATAGATGATGGAGAGCAGGTGTTGGTGGATGTGGAGGGGAAGGACCATAAACAGATCACCCAACATGTCAAGACTATTCTCGGCAAGACCGAGTAAGTACTCGTAGTACCCTAACCTCCGATACCCATTCTCATCACAGCCCACTGCTTGATTTGGTTCTATAACAGGGATTTATTCGTTAGTCGAATTCCGTTGCAAAACGTTTGGTCTGTCGCAAAATGTTTTGCAACGAAACCGTTTACTCTAGGAAGCGAACAGAACGAAAAGGGGAGGGACCTACCTGCATTTGTCCAATAGAAACTCTCGTTTTCATGCAAGACGTTTTCCGTTTGGAGTAAATGTTTTTAATTTGCAAAACATTTTGCAACAGAATCCGACTAATGAATACATCCCAGAAGTGTAGATGTGTAGGCCTTCCTGGGTTGCAGCAGTCTGTTTGGCATGACAACGACAAAGGATTTGGCTAAGCTAAAGCAGAAACAGACTGGTCCTCAGGCTAGATGCCAGTGAATAAGCCATGAGTTAATAAGTCTCTGGTCCTCTGTAGCTCAATTGGTAGAGCATGGCGCTTGTAACGCCAGGGTAGTGGGTTCGATCCCCGGGACCACCCATACGTAAAAATGTATGCACGCATGACTGTAAGTCGCTTTGGATAAAAGCGTCTGCTAAATGGCATATCATATTACAGTAGACTAATGTCAAGAGGAATGTTTCAAGGTCCAATGCAGACATTTTTATCTCAATATCAAATCATTGCTGGGTAACTGAAACTCTATCCCACCGAAACGGGCTGAAATTTCAGGCGATCTTGTCAAACAGCTCTTACACTAAAAGGGCATTATCATAATTTTCACAATTTCACAGAATTATTCCAACCTCAGTGTGGAAATGTATATACAACACAGGAAACTCATGTTTTTGACTGCACTGGCCCTTTAAGGTTAGGTGTTACTCTTGTCTAAGTGTATAATACAATATACTGTTGTTACTGGTTAATTTTGTCTTCCCCTCATCATTGTCTATTCTCTCCCCTTACAGTGAGGTCCTTCAGGCTGAGGCTCTAGCCAGGATGGAGGCTGCTAACCCAGCCAACTTTGGGCCCAAGAAGTACTGTCTGAAGGAGTGTATCTGTGAGGTGGAGGGCCAGGTTCCCTGCCCGGGCAACACGCCGCTGCCTAAGGAGTTGACAGGGAAATACCGTGCGCAGATGGCAGCCGCACAGGACTGAGACTGGACAGCAGGGAGAAGGGATCATGGACTGAACTGTAATATTACTATATCAAATACATTTCACTGGAAATACTGTGGATTTGTTTTTGTACATTCAAAAAGGAAACCAGACAATATTTTGATTTTCGATGTCAGCTGTTGTAAATAATGATAATTTGGAGATTGATGAACTAGAATGTGCTTCTCAGATTAATTAAATCAAGTGTTTGTGTGGAGTTTATGCATAATATTTGCAACACACACACCTTGTAGTGTGGATGAATGAAAATGCCACCATTCCCATTGTTCACATAGGTCATGTCTTTAATTAGTGTTGAGTGATGGAGCCTCAATGGCTGTTTAGATAGGCAGCCCAATTCTGATCTTTTTTCCACTAATTGGTCTTTTGACCAATCAGATCAGCTCTGAAAAATATCTGTTGTGAAAAGATCTGATGTGATTTGTCAAAAGACCAATTAGTGGGGGGGGGGGGGGGGGGGGGGGGGGGGGGGGGGATCAGAATTGAGCTGCCTGTGTAAACACAGCCAGTGACAACTAAAGGTGAACAGTTAATTCACATTTGTCACAAATAAATTATTCATGTCATTCATGTTTCAAAATGTTCTGTTGTGTTTAGCTGCAACACTGTTGAGCATTAGTGGTGCATGATCGATTACAGCAAACACACTACTGCTTTAGTTCAACAAAATAACAAGTACTGTTGTATACTCTGAGGCAAGGAAACCAGTACTTGGATACAACATCAAAGTACTTCAACAGGAATTTGCCCACAGTATGTGATAATACTAGGTAGCGTTGAATCGGTTTAGTGTTTTATTTCATTACCTCTGAGAAATTAAGAATCCAAAGAAGATAAAATACTTAATCTTACATCTAAAGTTTTGCCAAGACCTTATGGATACAGAGAAGAAGGCTGATGCTGTGACAACTGAGATAGGTTCATTTACCCAGAATGCTCTATTATTCTGTGCCTCAGACCTAAACATTTCCATTGCAACAACGGTGTTGTGTGTTAATGGTAAGTGCTGCTAAGAGAGACTTGGCTGAATCAGTTGCATAATAAATACACTGTAAATACAGGCTGAAGTTAAGTTGGCATATGAGAAAGTAAACTGGATGTTTGCAGGGTGTAGGAGTTGTTCAGAGCAGGACAGATTCTGACCCTGCATCATTAGTGCACTAAAAGAGAAAACAGAGGGTGAGAGAACTAGTGTCCACTGTTGGGAGGAGAAAATAGCACAAGGAGAGACTAGGACAAAATCAGCATTGAAAGACTAGCCTACTTTGGACCACTGCAGAAGTGTCTGTGATATCACACACACATGAATCATGCACACTCACTGACCGCTAATGCATCTATCCTGCGCTTCAACTGAGTCACTCAACGGACATAACCAGCTAACGGCAACAGAAGGAGTCCCTGAAAGCAAAGTAGGATTTTAAAAAAAAACGTTTTCGTTGGTATCGCTCACTATGGCTTAATGTTTTGTTCATCAACATTCTCTTTCTAGCGGTAACTGGACCCCCAGGGATGACAGAGAAAATATGTCTTAGTGGCAATGGGGTTCCACTCCCATACAAACTCAAACATGCATGTGAAGATCTGACAGACAAAATGTAGCAGTAACAGGTTAGTCATGCTTAGTGTCAGGGCTGCATTCAAGTGCCAACGACACACAATTTCATGACACGCTTACTTACAGCTGTCATTGTAAACTGTTCAGAGTGAACGTTTTCGTTCAAGTAGACCATAACATTTCCAAAAACGCTGCGACCTTCAATACAACCCTGTTTCTACATAAGGTATTGAATGGCAGGACTACAGATGATGTCAGGCCTCTGTTACCCAAATATGACCCCTTGGATCCTCTCTCCTGTGGCTGACTGCACAACGGTCGAAGTGATGACTTACTTTACATACTCTGCCCTTGTGCTTCTTCTTACCATACAAATATAATTTAAAAAACAACGGCTCCTAAATGAGACCTTCATAGAGCGTGAGTGTTATTAGTAGGTACGAGAGTGTAAAAATGAATGTAAATGCATCTCGTGGTCGACATCCTTTTAGTGATAGGCTGCATAACCCAGAGCAGGGTCTCAATAGTCTGGTTTTGCTTTCTCTCCTTGTCTCCTCTCCTTGACCCCGCACTTGGTAGGGTGATCAGGATCGGCAAATAAATAATGCTAGGTGCCTTCACCTGTGCAGTTCATTCACATCAGTGCAGATGAAGGAAAGGAGAGGAAGTATAGACTATTGAGATGCGGCCCTGAGTCTAGAGGGCTACTACCCAAGGGGAATGGCGGGGGTGGTTCCTTCACAAAAGTTTTAACCCACCAGGCACTGACCTTACCCAACCCAGAATCAATGAGATCATTGGCCATTTAAAGCTGGAATCCTTAGCAGTGAAACTGCCACGTCCGTTTGCGATATTACAACAAAGACGTTACTTCAAACAACAAACACTGTTTTTTTTTTCTCCTCTGACATCATTGCACATGCGATAGATCCAGTGGAGGCTGGTGGGAGGAGTTATAGGAGGATGGGCTCATTGTAATTGCCGGAATGGAATAAATGGAACGTTATCAAACACATAGAACATATGGAAACCACGTTTGACTCCGTTCTAAATCATTCCATTCCAATGAGCCCATCCTCCTATAGCTACTCCCACCAGCCTCCTCTGGATATAACAGCAGAGTATGTACTTCAAATTGTTTTTATCATGATGGTGGATGCTCATCTCCTACATTTGAAAAACAAAACAAAAACAATAACAAATGCACCTGGGGCGACCAGTGGCGCTCTTTCACCTTTTGCAGATCCCAGCTTTAAAGGGAACTACTGTAGAGTCTCAGGACTGGCCTTCTAGCCCTGGGTGGGAAGCCCTGTTGTAAGTATCAGGTGATGGCATGGAGAATGGGAGGAGGTGGTGTCTCTGTCAGTGTGTCTTACTCTTCTGTTCCTGCAGGGTGCGCTGCAGCTCTCTCAGGTTCTCTGACAGGAGCTCTACCTCGTCCAGCCTCCCGTTGAGCTTGGCATCGAAGATGTACGCCCGAATGTTATCAATCTGCTGCAGCAGCAACTCCTCCTCGATCAGGTCAACATCTGGCATCGCCACCTCATCCTCCCCCTCGAAGGGATTGGTCGAGGCTCCCGGCGGGGTACTCCCAGAAGCCTCTTTAAAAGTGTTACCTTCATCGTTCTCCTCCTCTTCGAAAGGGTTGCCTGTGGCGCCCTCAGCCTGCCCTTGCTCCCCGCCCTCCACTTCCTCCTCAAATGGGTTGTACTCCTTCTTCCCATTAGCCACCTCCTTGTGCTCCGCCTGGATCTCTTCGGAGAACGGGTTGGACGGATCCTCCTCCACAGGGGTGGAGTCTTCCTCCTCAAAGGGGTTGAGGGAGGCGCTGTTCTGTCCCTCTACATCTTCCCCCAGCCTCCTCAGCCGCGGGGGCGACTCCTCAACCTGGTCCGTTAGGGCAGGGAAGGCCCTCATGGACAGGGGGCTCCTCTCTGCTTTAGGGGTCAACTCTTCATCCTCGTCCTCTCCCTCCCTATGGAGGCTCCCTGTATCAGTTAAGTTCAGTGAGCCCTGCCAGGTGTATGTGGCCTGGGTGGATCCTGGGGCTTCGCTCTGAGCCCTGTGCTTTATCTTCCCCCTCTCCCTGTCCTCCAGGCGCTGCAGCTCCTCCTGTTGTAGGCTCTCCTCCTGGGACAGAGCGATGGCCAGGTGGGTCTGCTGCTGGTCGTACTCATCCTGGAGAACACACAGTTCAACAAATCACACCCTAGTCCCTACACAGAGCTCTATTTCGGACCAGAGCCCTGTTAAGGTCCATTGCATTGTAATCGCAGTACATGCAGTGCATTCGGAAAGTATTCAGACCCCTTCCCTTTATCTACATTTTGTTACATTACAGCCTTATTCTAAAATTGATTAAATTGTTTATTTTCCTCATCAAATCTACACACAATACCCCATAATGACAAAGCAAAAACAGGTTTTTAGATTTCTGTGATAAAAAAAAAAAAAATGGAAATATCACATTTACATAAGTATTCAGACCCTTTGCTATGAGACTCGAAATTGAGCTCAGGTGCATTCTGTTTCCATTGATCATCCTTGAGATGTTTCTACAACTTGATTTGGAAAGGCACACACCTGTCTATATAAGGTCCCACAGTTGACAGTGCATGTCAGAGCAAAAACCAAGCCATGAGGTCAAAGGAATTGTCCGTAGAGCCCCGAGACAGGAAAGTGTCGAGGCACAGATCTGGGGAAGGGTCCCAAAACATTTCTGCAGCATTGAAGGTCCCCAAGAACACAGTGGCCTCCATCATTCTTAAATGGAAGAAGTTTGGAACCACCAAGACTCTTCCTAGAGCTGGCCGCCCGGCCAAACTGAACAATCGGGGGAGAAGGGCCTTGGTCAGGGAGGTGACCAAGAACCCGATGGTCACTCTGACAAGAGTTCCTCTGTGGAGATGGGAGAACCTTCCAGAAGGACAACCATTTCTGCAGCACTCCACCAATCAGGCCTTTATGGTAGTGGCCAGACGGGGGATGTTTTTCAGCGGCAGGGACTGGGAGACTAGTCAGGATCGAGGGAAAGATGAACAGAGCAAAGTACAGAGGATCATTGATGAAAACCTGCTCCAGAGCGCTCAGGACCTCAGACTGGGGCGAAGGTTCACCTTCCAACAGGACAACGACTCTAAACACACAGCCAAGACAACACAGGAGTGGCTTCTGGACAAGCCTCTGAATGTCCTTGAGTGGCCAAGCCAGAGCCCGGACTTGAACCTGATCGAACATCTCTGGAGAGACCTGAAAAAAGCTGTGCAGCGATGCTCCCCATCCAACCTGACAGGTGTGCCACACTTGTAGCGTCATACCCAAGAAGACTCGAGGCTGTAATCGCTGCCAAAGGTGCTTCAACAAAGTACTGAGTAAAGGGTCTGAATACTTATGTAAATGTGATTTCATTTTTTCATTTGTATAATTTTTTGCAAAGATTTCTAAAACCTGTTTTTGCTTTGTCATTATGGGGTATTGTGTGTAGATTGATGAGGGAAAAAACAAATTAATCAATTTTAGAATAAGGCTGTAACGTAACAAAATGTGGAAAAAGTCAAGGGGTCTGAATAATTTCCGACTGCACTTTATAGCAGAATAAATACTATAAATCAACACAAATTCTCATGCAACATTTTGTAACATTTTGTAGGTTTCCCCACCTGCAGCTGCCTGAGGTTGTCCTCCAGCATGGCCACCTCGTCATGCCTCTGGGCGGCCTTGGCCTGCCGCAGGAACGACTGGATGTTGTCTATCTGCTGCAGCATGGGGTCCTCCAGCTCTCTGCGGGTGTGGAGGGTGTCTGAGGAGGGCAGCCAGCCCCCAGCTTTGGTCATGCGGGCGGCTCTGGGGGCCTGGGAAGGCTCCCCGTTTGTGCTGGCGGCCGGGCGGTTCTTCTCCGATTCCTGCCTTCTCTTCTGGGCCTCCTGGGCAGCATGATAGGAAGGTACGCTTTTAGAGACAGCTTTACTATATAATACACTACTTATGAAAGCAGTTGCTTTTAGCTTTTCTGGTATCAGACATATCAGATCCTTTTTGGAGTATCATTATTGGGTCTTTAGTTTAAATAATAAGCAGCCTCCTCACCAGTCTCTCCTGGGCGAGCCTCTTCTCCTGCTCCTGCTTCCTCTTCTCCTTCAGCTCCTCATACTTGTCCTTAGTGGGCAGAGACATCAGACCCAGCAACTTCTCCTGCAGGAGGGAGGAGGAAGGGCGAGAGAGAGATGGAGAGAAACAGAGAGAAAAGGGTTGAGAAAGAGACAGAGGGAGGTGTTTGAATGTGTTGTGTAATGTGCTATTATTCTGGGGAAAATGACTAATCGTTCACTCTTCACCACACCATTCAGCTTATCCATAGTTGCTCTTTATGTACAGTAGTGTACTCTCTGTGTCTCACCTGGACGAACAGTGTGGCTGTGTATCTGACCATCCTCTGCAGCTGGAGATTCTTTGGATGGGGCTGTGGCTCCTCCTTCATTCCCAGTGTTAAGATCCTCTTACTGACAGGAATACATAGAGAATGTTATAATAATATGATTATTTACCAGAGACTCTTATTCAAAGTACAGTTGGGCCAAAATACACTATATATACAAAAGTATGTCGACACCCCTTCAAATTAGTGGATTCGGCTATTTCAGCCACACCCTTTGCTGACAGGTGTATAAAATCGAGCACACAGCCATGCAATCGCCATAGACAAACATTGGCAGTAGAATGGCCTTACTGAAGAGCTCAGTGACTTTCAACGTGGCACCGTCATAGGATGCCACCTTTCCAACAAGTCAGTTTGTCAAATTTCTGCCCTGCTAGAGCTGCCCCGGTCAACTGTAAGTGCTGTTATTGTGAAGTGGGAACGTCTAGGCGCAACAACAGTTCAGCCGCGAAGTGGTAGGCCACACAAACTCACAGAACGGGACCACCGATTACTGAAGCGTGTAGCGCGTAAAAATAATCTGTCCTCGGTTGCAACACTCACTACCGAGTTCCAAACTGTCTCTGGAAGCAACATCATTCAGCATGACAATGCCCCCGTGCACAAAGCGAGGTCCATAAAGAAATGGTTTGTCGAGATCGGTGTGGAAGAACTTGACTGGCCTGCAAAGAGCCCTAAACTCAACCCCATCGAACACCTTTGGGATCAATTGGAACGCCAACTGCGAGCCAGGCCTAATCGCCCAACATCCACGCCCAACCTCATTAATGCTCTTGTGGCTGAATGGAAGCAAGTCCCTGCAACAATGTTCCAACATCTAGTGGAAAGCCTTCCCAGAAGAGTGGAGGCTGTTATAGCAGCAATGGGGGGACCAACTCCATATTAATGCCCATGATTTTGGAAGGAGATGTTCGACGAGCAGGTGTCCACATACTTTCGGTCATGTAGTGTATGATGAAATTGAATATCGTGATATTTGACTGACGATATATTGTGATGTGCAAGACCATACTCTATTTGAACTTTGCAAATCAAAACTGTGTTATCAGTTAGGCTGTCTCAATATGTTGAAAATGAAGTCTAAATGAATGAACTAAGCCTTATTTTTTCCCCATACTAAGATTATTTAATGAGAATATTGTAAATAAGCAAAACAAATTGCACCGTCTGGAATTATCTAATCATTAATGGCGCAGAGCGATTATATAGGATATTGCGATATTTAGAGTAGCATATCGTAGAAGAGGTGTCCCTCATATCACCCAACCCTCCATACAGGTAACACATTCTGGATATAGTATGTACCTCAGTGCATCGATCAGTTCGTAGTATTTCTGGACTTCCATTCTCAGTCCACCAGCCGTGTCCAGGTTATAGGTGGTCTCTCCAGCACTGTGAGAAGTTAAAGTTTGACCATGAAGATAAACAACAGAACCACAGCCACATATCGCTCTGGTCAAATGTAGTATCCTATTTAGGGAATGAGGTGTCATTTGAGACAGACTATGTCTTACTTAAGAGACTCAGCCATTCTGATGTACTCTGGAGCCCTCTCGTCCACCTTATCCATGCACAGCCTCAGCCTCTGGGAGGAAGACAGGAGGATGGATGGTGAATGACCGCAAGCTCACTAGACAGTGAACAACAGGGACATACACAAAATAACAGTGTGTTACCTCGTAGAGCTTGACAATGTCAGGCACGTGGTCCTTCTCCTTCAGTTTCTGCTGTCTCCTCATCAGAGTGTCCATGCAGTGGCAGCAGCAGCGGATCCTCTCATCGTCCTTCTCTTCCAGCATGGAAGTGACACTGCTCAGGCTGCTGATGCTGCCCCTCCTGGAGCCCATCCCGCTGACGCTGCCCCCGCCACCCCCTGTTGGAGGGGACTGGGACTGGCCCGGGCTGCCTGGAACACTCAGGGCCTCCCGTGTCCCACTGGTCAGCTTGTCTGGAGAGGAGAGAACAGGTTGGTGAGTCACTAAGCAGGATCAATGCATTAGCTAACTAATTCTGAGAAACACTGATGTCACTGTTGATTTTCTGGTTAAATATGGGTGGAATATCGCTGTAATATTACTGTATGTGTGTAAGTGTACTCACAAGCCAAAGGCAGGGGCACAAACTCCATGCACTTCTTACACATGATGGAGCCACAGAGACGGCAGTGGTGTCGCCTGTTCCGGAGGTTGAACTTGTTCCCGCAGTCGGGACAGAACGGGACATCAGAGTCGCTCACCCACGACACAACAGACTTCTCAATCGCTAGAGAGAGAGAGGGAGAGAAGCGGCTTTTCAGGATTCACACACAGAAAATGACATTCAAATTCACACAGGGAGGAGCTGTACTCAATAAGAACAAATGTGGGTCCTGTATAATGTGATGGTGAAAAACAAAATATACTGCAATATGACCCCTCTCAACTCACCTCTAATCTTGCCTGCATCTATGTTTAACCTGTCAAAGGATGTCAGCTGAAACACAAGAGAGGATACATGGTGAGTTATGTCCTAACAGTAAGGGTGTGTAACTGCTACTGTATGTGTCAAACCCACATTGACAAACCAAAGGGCAAATGACTTGTGATTGTCTGCAGTAGTTTGTGTGCTCACTTTCTCCAGCCTGATAATGAGCTTGTTGACCTCAATGACGTAGTGGTCGATCCTGGCAGCTCTGTGCTTCTTGAAGAAGTCCAGATGACTTCTGGTGGCACCTACGGGGGAGAAGAGGGGACACCATCAGACTGGATGGAAGCAGTCTCTAAAACTAGAGACCATAACAATGCAACACTCTTAGTTTCAATTCAGGTGAGATGACTCCGTAGCATGCAATGACCAGACCAATACATCTCTTGTGAACTGTGGATTTCTTGTTTGAGCAGCGGATGCGAAGCCCTCTACCACCCCACCACATCTCTCTTCTCCCAGTTTCCCCCCTGCATACTGCTCCCAGTCTCACCCAGCTCCTGAGGCTCCCACATGTAGGGGTCCACTCCGCCATAGTAGAAGGACTCATAGCTGCCTGTCTCTGACTTGTCCTCTCCATCCCTCTTCAGCAGCTTGTCTTTGGCTTTCATAGCCTTTTGGACTAGACCTGCAGCCAACAGGAAGACAGTAGTGATTACTTCAAGGAAGGGTGGAAGGCTACCAGGCTACAACAGACTCACTCTTGGGTCATTATTAGCTGACCTAAATGGAAAGACAAGCATTAACAGACTCACTCTTGAGCTGTCCCCTGACATGTCTGTCGTCCCCGGAGTGTTCCTCCTCATAGTGCTCCTGGAGCTGGTAGAATGACTGCAGGTCCTTCAGGCAAAGCGGGCACAGGAAGCCCTCCTTCACCTCCCCTGTGCCCTCGAAGGGGTGCAGGTAGCTGGAGGCCATGTTGATGGGGTTGGGGTGGGGTGGAGGGGGTTGCAGGATGGTAGCTGTGACACCCGGATGTGTCCCCGTCTCATGCCACGCCCAACTGGGTGTGACGCCCACCCCTCATCCGCTCCATTATACGCCAGGAGAAAGCCTGAGACAGAAACTGACAGCTTGAAGGGTTCTGACAATAACATACAGGGGCATATTCATTACGCAGATTATGTTGTAAAACGTTTCTTAAACGGAAGCAAATGGAACGAAATGGGGGAGGGACCTACCTGAATTTGTCCAATAGAAACTCTCGTTTAAGTTGCACTGTTTGGACTAATGATTACACCCTAGCTAAGAAGTTCAGACTGTTGTTTATGGAAGTCATGGCTTACTGAATGACAACCCTAAAAACCTCCAGCAAGACTAGTTAGGTGACATGGACATAACGGTCTTTGATCACTGAACGCTTACTACTCACGTAAATCCTATGCATGGCAAAATGGATACCGTGTTAGAACGAATAAAGTTAGCTAGCTAACAACGAGAGCAGTAGGCTGTGTTTACATCTCTCACCACAAGCCAGTGATGGCTGTACTGGCGACTGGATAGCGACATTACAGTAGCTAGCTTATCTAACGTTACTATGACGGTGATCATCTGTCATACCTTGTACCTGATTGAGGGACAAATTGGCAATCGGGAGGGACATCATTTGAGTAGAACTAGCCAGTCAGATATAGCCAGCCAGCTGGCTCCTGAACAATTCACACAAAAAGCTAGCTAGCTGACTAAGTTAGCAAAAGGCTAACGAGCTAGCTATAGTGCTGACGTCTCGCCAGTACCAAGCGCACACCGTTTCCAATGACACAAACAATCCAAAGACACATTTATGTACTTACAGAACGCAATGTAAGCCTGTTAACCGTGTAGTTTATGAATGAATATTTTGACAGCTCGTTACTAAACTCCAGCTGCAACACTCTCTCCACGGGTGAAAAGTTAGCAGCCCTGTCTAGTCCACTGAGCTATAATAAGAAGGTCTAGTCACATACTGTACTGCGATACCGTCTTTGGTCTAATCATGTGATTAGCATACAGCGGAGACGGGAGGTGAGAATGGACAAAAAGCACGTTGAAGCCAACAGGCACTCTGACCACCTAGGTCTGCGACCGTGCTAATCAAATCAAATAATTGTATTTGCCAAATACAACAGGAGTAGGCATTACAGTGAAATGCTTACTTACAAGCCCTTAACCAACAATGCAGTTTTTAAGAAAAGACAAAAAAAAGTGTTAAGTAAAAAAAAAAAAAAGCAAATAATTAAAGAGCAGCAGTGTTGATGAACACAAGTTTACTGGAGAACGGAGACCAAGTAGAGACTTTTGGACAAGGTGGATGATTGTATAATATAAGGCAGTTTATTCAGAGGTAAAGATATCTGTAAATAGCGTGCACGGACCCGTTCGTCAACCTCGTAGGGAGATATCTGAGAGCGCGCCCCAAAACATTGTGTGCTGACATTTTATACAATAAAATAAAGTAGGTTGATTCTAGTAGTTCTGATCTTCCGATTGGTCCTGATGAGTTGGTCGAGGTCATCTCCATTTCATTGGCTCTGAGTCGGGTTCTCTGTCTTCAGATGTTCAGCCTAAGAGAAGGGGTTTTGTGTGTGTGTGTGCTTAACAATGATGATGTGTGTGTATGTGTGTGTATGTGTGTGTATGTGTGTGTGTGTGTATGTGTGTGTGTATGTGTGTGTGTATGTGTGTGTGTGTGTGTATGTGTGTGTGTGTATGTGTGTGTATGTGTGTGTGTGTGTGTGTGTGTATGTGTGTATGTGTGTGTGTGTATGTGTGTATGTTTAACAATGATGATGTGTGTGTGTGTGTGTATGTGTGTGTGTGTGGGGGGGGTGTGTGTATGTCCTCAGAGCAATAACTCGTGAGTTTGGGAGAACTTGAGAGACCTATGGCGTGGGTGTTGTCCATAGCCACCTGCTGATAAGGCCGACAAGATAGAAGTCTTTGTGCATTGTATTAAGTCCAAAGGCCCCAACACAAGATGGGTTATGCACAAGATTTTAGTCAGACCAAGCTATAACATAATATATTTACCACGACAAATCCCTCTCTTCACGTCTCCCCAGAGACGTGACCAAGTAACAGTAAAGAAGGAAAACTTGAGACGTGACACAAGCTAACAGTGTAATTGGCAAAATAGGGAAAACTTTATCAGAAGATAAAGTTTTGATTCCCCCTCTTCACGTCTCACAAGAGACGTGACATAAAGCTTAAATGCTGCAATTTGGCAAAATAGGGAAAACTTTATCAGAAGATAAAGTTTTACATTCCCCCTCTTCACGTCTCACAAGAGACGTGACAAAAAGCTTAAATGCTATTCATCATCCAGATATCCTTGGTCAGCATCGTCAATAGCAAGCAAAGGAAACATCTGACCGTTATCTGCAGGATGTGGATCAATAGCGGTGGTTATAATCCTGGTTGTCAGCGTCCGTATGCATGGAATGCAACAGCATCCACAAAGCACTAGAATTGCAGCAAAAACAGAGATGGATACAAGTATAGAAGAAACAAGCGTTTTATATTTACCAAACGCATCCATCCAAGAGTCCCACATTGAAGTGTCCACCCCTGAGTGGCTCTTCATTTTACCATTAAGAGTTCGTAACCCTTCCAGGGCGACAGTCAAGCTGCCATCTGTGGCTGTATTGTTGGGAATAAAGGTACAACATTGTTCACCAAACATAGCACATACTCCTCCTTTTTCAGCCAGGAGCATGTCGACAGCAATACGATTTTGGAAAGCCATGAGAGAGGTCGCAGCCAACTGGCCATGCACCGCCTCAAACCTTGTTTTCCAATTGACTAA